CGAGACAACAGGTGTGCTTTGTTGCATAGATTTTGGCAGAACTGGTTTTCTGTTTTTGCGTAAACCAGAGGCTTCATCCAAGCAAGAGTCGATGCGTTCAAGGAGAATGTCATTCGCCTCGACAAGAGATTCGAATATGTCGTCTGTGTCCATACTGCAAGGAATAAAGGACGTAAATTAATAGATCCAATAAAGGACGTAAATTAATAGATGATCCAGATTAAGTTAGGATTTTGATTAGATTAAGATTTGGATTAAATTAGGACTTGAATTAAATTAGGATTTTAATATTACTATCATACAGATTAGATCATTCTGATTACATTGGGATTTAAATTAGATTAGCATCCAATAAGATTAAGAACACATGATTAAATTTAAATCGGATTAGCAAATCCACCTAGAATCGTACCTATGTTCGTAGTCCGTTTCTGAAGGCCAGCCACAACTAACATGCTCCAACTTGAGCAACTTCCCGACATTATTCAACACCCTTCCACCTTGCGTTTTGCAGAACTCGCGGAAATCTGGAAAACTGCTATAAAATTCAAAATCATCTCCCGGCTTGGGCAAACCGTGCGCCTTTTGCGTGGCTTTCACCAACTTCCCGAAACAATTTTGGGTAAAAGAGACCACGTTAGGATGCCCCGGTAAAAATTCTTCTTCTTCGGCCATGGAAGATGTTTGCGGAGGGTTTTCAGCCATTCTGTACGGCGAAATTTCGTTTATTGCGATAAAAACGCAGTCCTTATTTAGCCGACATGTTGGTTTGAAAATTATTCGGGAAAGAGCGTGTTGTTTGTACAGCGGCGTAAGAACCGGGGGGGTCGGGTTGTGAAAATTATGAATGATTGCATCAAAATTTGAACGAAAATTTATAGGAAAAAAGCTAAAATTATCAAATAAAGATATAATTATCACACTTTGGTTTAAGACTTAGAGTCTTTATCTCCCAGTTTTTGGGATTTCGAAAGTTTAAGACGTTTATTGAGGCTATATTTATTAAAGAATATTGATATTTTCTGTGGTATTCACCCCCCTGATAAAGACCTCGTGGTATTCTCAATCTGAATTCCATGCTGAAATTAAATATTTTAAAAATCGTTTGATTCCTTGGTGTAGTTCTTCACAGTTTCACATAAGAAAAATGAACGAAATTTATCTGGATATTAACGTCTTTTAGCAAGAAGGAAGATAAGAATAATGGTTTAAACTTTATTTAAAGGATGGCAGCAAATATATCGAAAGCAAAGTTTTTACAAAGTTTTATAGGAGTGAGGTTTTGTACAGGATGGCAACAGAGGCTACAGAGCTCGAGATTTTCACGTTGCGTGTGTGGTGTTGGGACAAAAGACAAGATTTTAGCAAGAGAAAGGACTCGTGTAAATCTTAAGTTTGTTCCTCGTGGATTTTCAACGAGCATTGCACGATATAGTCAAGTATGATATTTTGATCTGTAGAAACACATTTACAGCATTCAGGGATTTATAAAATACTGTTTATACTTTTGCATAAAATACTGTTTATGCTGGAAAAATCTTAAAAAGTTTTTCCTATACCCTTTAACCCCCTCCCTTGATCAAGTCCCCTCCCCCCTCCTCCCACTTGGGCAAATCCCCTCCCCTCCCCCCCACACACACAGAGTTTTGACAGCCGATTTGGCCTTATTTTGATGTATAACCTCTGTGAGCAAAGTAACACCATTCTGAACATATATCACCCCTAAAATCATCTATCCCCCACCTCCCCCCAACTTTGAAATATTTTAGCGTGGGGCTCAACAGCTTTACTTGGAACCTTGTGTCCGGGCTCTTTTCTATCTTGCTGGAGAAGGGAAGTATTTGGTTACCTTGGGGTGCACCCCCTTTCCATTATCCCCCTCGCCCTGATTTGTTGGATGTGCTTGGATCTTTGGCTAATCTTGCACCCTAGATCTGCCCTTTCTCAGCAGAAGAGCTCTGCCCATCTTTAATTTTTGTTATAATTTTGCGCTATCCATTATTCTCTAGATAAGAGCTCAAAATAACTTTCAAGGTATTCTTATTTTATATACTTTAATCCAGTTTAATACTGATTCGATCATATGACAATCTCATTTAATTTCTTTCAAAATGAACTGGTATAGTAATCCTTCATTTGTCTCAACCTATTAAGTCCTTGTCTATTGTCTATGTCTATTGAGTTCTTGTTTCATCTTGAGTTCTTTTTTCTTGTTTTGAGTTTTTTTTTCTTGTTTTTTTTTCCAGTATCAAAGGATGCATTGGTTAGTTTTGCAGAGAAAATAAATTGGTCATTGTCTAGTGATGAACTCTTGATAAATGCCCTTACACACAAGTCATATGTGACGTCAGATAATGACGTGCTGGGCACGTCGTTTAACCATAATGGGCGGCTTATACATTTGGGTGAGTATGGCCTGACACTGAGGCTAAGTGAACCATGTTCAGAATCTCCTTGTGACTAGTCACTTTTTAGATAACATCGCTCTATGTCAGAAATTGTGTTGCAAATTGCAGCAAAGAGTCCCTGATGTAACAGTCTTTATGTTACAAGATGCAATATAAATTGGTGAATCCATTTTCTTCATTTCACCAATAGGGTATGAAACAGCATCTAGTTTTATAACAGAAATCCTTTATTTCAAACATCCCACATTAACTGCTGAACAATTATGGTAAGTTTTTTAATGCGAAGAAGAATTTGATCAGTGTTTGTTTCTGATGCACAGAATAAGATCTGTTATATGTAACCTCACAATGTTGTAAAATGTATCATTTAGGGATCTGCAAAATGGTCTGCTGCGCCAGGATTTGCTTGAAAAATGTGCACGGGAACTTGGATTACATGATTTGATATTTTCAAAGGTTTTGTATTTTTTATTTTTTTTACTGACTCTTTGCCATCTTTGACTTTGGACTTAATTCTGAAACGTTTTGATTGTTTATACCAAAGTGGGTCCAAAGTGTATACTAAGAATTCCTTTATTGTCATGTATAGGATGAAGTCAGTGGTCAAATTATTGCTGAGGCATTGTTAGCCATTATTGGCTCAATATATATGAATCAGGTATAGACTGTAGTATCCTACTTTAATTAATTAATATATTGGATAGCTCTATCAGCAGCTCCAGTCATCCCAAGTCCAAGATACCGATATTTTTTAGTTTGGGTTTAAATTTTTTTTTCATGAACTTGTTGTAGCCTCCTGGTTTGACTCGTGAGTTTATGGAGAACTATGTTGTCCCAGAACTAACAGAAGAAACGATTAAAGAGATTTGTCAATTTGAACATCCAAAGTTTATGTTGCAACAACTCAATGCTAGAATGAACCTTACTGCAAAGTATGATTTGATATTTCATATTGTAATTAATATGTCAGACAATCCCAGCGTAGACCATGTTATTCTAGCTATGACATTGTATGGATTTATAGATAGGTTAGTGAATGGGAATTAGTGCTGTTTTATTTTTTAAAGAATTTTGCAAAAGGATTCCAAACAGGACGTTTACGGTGACGAGACAGAAAAATATGAAGTTGGAATTTTCCAACAAGATGAAATGATTTGCAAAGGTATAGAAATGTTATTTGTTCATTCTTGTGCGAAAAAAGCATCGGTTTCCTCATTTTTTCACCACCAATTTTTATTTCCTAAAGGAGAAGGAGATTCGCAGTTTAAAGCTGAAAAGAATGTAGGTGCTTTGTGATCTGTATAAACCAAACTAACTTATAATATTTGTACTGTTCTATCTGTTGTAAACTGTTTTCCCAAAATTTTCATTGAAGGTCAGTCCTTTTTGGTCCAGTGTTACATCAGGCGGAAACTGGAATGTACAGAGAAACCTGCAATGTCTTGTAGAGTCAAAATATTGCAAAAACCAAACTTCGGTCACTGACATATTAGGGGAATAAACCACTGTGCAACCAATATTACTTCAATATGTATTTTTAAACTTTGACTAGGCATGTCAAAACCTTTTGAAAGAGATATATTTGGACAAGTTGAAGAAAGCAAAGTTTCCACTAGACTATGATGAATTTATGTCTGAAGATGAAATCAATCTGGGCTTGCTGGCTGAAGGAATCAGAGCTGTCGAGATAGAAAAGGTCTCGCATTGTAACAAACCTGCAGACTTGTAGCAGTACTGTTCCAAGAACTTTTCAACAGGATGTGTTCGCACTGCTTGTTCCCAGCTTGTTGATAAGTTGTCAACTTGCTACAAGGTTGTTGAGTTCAACAGACTTGTTACAAGTTGTTCCAACAACTTGTTATCGTCCTGCAATTCAACAATTTGTCAACAAGTTGTGAGTGATTACCATTGTTACAACTTGTTCACAAGCTTGCTACAAGCCTGTTGCGAACGCATCTTGTTGACAAGTTGTGAGATTTTTACGTGTTTACATACGTAAAAATGCACAAGTTGTTACAGGTTTGCAAACAAGTTTTTACAAATCTCTCCACAAGCTGCCGACAAGTTGTGTTCGCACTGCTTGTTCCCAGTTGTTGTAACAAGTTTGGAACAAACTGTTAACAACTTGTAACAAGCTTGATGGCATTATCAGACTTGTTACAAGGTTGTTCTGACAAGTCTGATACAGTCGTGATATACCGGTAACAAGAATGTTGCAAGGTTGACCACACAAGGTTGAAACAATATTGTTATATCAAGATCGTATCAGACTTGTTGGAACAACTTTGCAACAAGTCTGATAATATCAACAAGATTGTTACAAGTTGTTAACAGCTTGTTCCAAACTTGTTGACAACTTGGGACAAGCAGTGCGAACACAACTTGTTGACGACTTGTTGGCAGATTTACCACAAGATGCGAGGTTTTTACGTGTGTACATGAACAACAATGCTAAGATCAATGACAAGTTTTGTGAAATATTTTATAGTTGTTTTGAAACTGTTTCGTCGGTTGGATCACCAAAAAAACTGATAATGTGATGACTGACCGTATTAACATACGGGCAATTTCATTTATTTTACTTTTTACAATTTTAGGGCGAGAGTGGATTTGGATTTTCTCTGAAAGGAGGCGAAATGAGGAGTGAAGAAAACAGAGACTTTGTGAAGTATCATTACTACTATCCTCCCTTCATCTCATCTGTTGTGGGAGGTGGACCCGCTGAAAGGTATAGGATATCCACGAGCGCTTGCGAAACATTTCACACGAAATGAATGGGTAATTCCAGCTATATATAGACTAATTTTTTATCTAGAAAAGAAGGACGAAATCTATCATTATAGCTTAAAAGAACAATTGCCAAGTTTGGTTGCGAAATGTTGTAAAATACGGAAAATATAGCCCTGTGAAATTAGCAAATTTTGAGTACTTTAGTATTACGCGCAGAAAAATTCACTACTTTTGAGCCGAAAGTGTTGCTTCTGCTCGTAATACTAAAATACTCAAATTTTGCTAATTTTACAGGGCTTTATTTTCCGTATTTTACAACATTTCGCAACCAAACTTTGCAATTTTATTAATTTTAGGGTGCTCTTTTCAGCTATAATGATAGATTTCGTCTTTCTTGTTTAGATAGAAAATTAGTCGACAGCTTGAATCACGCATTCATGCATGGGCAGTAACGATACATTAGGTTTCGCGACATGGGGGAACCGGGCGGCAGCCCCCAGTTTGTTGGGCAAGCAAAGCCAGTCGGGCAATATTCGCTCCACAGCGAATTTATTATAAAAATAAATGGGACAAATTCTGTCAATTTTGTGGGAAATTCTGTCAATTTTGTGGTCAATTTTGTGATGTCTGGAAGATTTGTATGATTTGCGAAACATTTTGGTAAGTCCGAAAAATTTTTGGACCCCTAAAATGGTACACTGACCGAAATTTTTTTGGCAACGGGGGGGTGGGGGGAGGTCGTCAAAATTAATTTGTTACGGAAAAAAAAATTTCGGCACTGGTCGGGCAGAATCCGAAAAAGTCGGGCAAATTTCTTTCCGCCCCCCTAATTTTTTCCTTCCGGTACACCCATGTTTCGCGAGGAAAAATTTCGCTTCGTCAGTAAGTAGAAGTCAGTTCTACTACGAAAGAGAAAAAAGTGGAAAAATTCACTAGAATCACCCATGTGCAACCATCTGTTGTTTAGATGTGGTTTAAAACCTGGCGATGTGATACTGGCTGTCAATGATAAGGTAAGTCATGGCCGATGTATAAATAGTACAGTTTGCGTGCGGTTAGATGCAAGGTATATATGCCTACTGTATATGAAACTTGAAGTCAAATACTGTATGGTATATGATGGTTGACTTATGCATTACGTAAAATCTATGGAAACATTTTTCCGTTGTAGAACACTAAAGGAATGGGTCATCACAAAATGGTTAAATTGCTTGAGTCCCTAAAAGGTTCGAAATATTTTGTGTTCAGTTTGACCAAAAATTCTAAATCTAATTTATACTCCGTTAAATCTCTGTGAACTCAAGGCTATTTTCACAACGCAAAGTACACTATCAGTATTGTAAAGAAAGCAAGATTTCCTGTTGGCTTTCTTGCCCGTACCAACCCACGAACGAAAATGTATCATAGTTTTCTTTTTCACCAGGAAAAGCGAAGTTTACCGTCAAGTTTAGCAAAAAAGGTGAGCATGCATATTTTAACGGATTGTGAATAAAATACCATTTATAACAACCGTTTACTGGATTCATTGCAGTATTAATCAGCGATGAAATTGAGAGAAAATTTGGCCAGTTTCAAGAAGGAAAGTTGCTGTCACAGTTGACTGATCCGAAGTGGTCAGAATGGCATCATTCCCATTCCAAAAACAACAGACTTGAGTACGATACTTTGGTTTCAAAACGTCAGGACGAGGGTTTGTTGCCGAAGATAACGAAGCATTAGAGCATACACAATCCAAGAGACATGCAACTGGGATTGACGTCAGGATTGCCTGTGTCTATGATTACTGTTACCCACCTGAATGACAAGGCTGCATTTTGGTGAAAATTCTGGGAGAGGTGGGGAAATATTCAAATGCCAAAACTGATTTTTCAAATGCCAGAACTCCGTTTTCAAATGCTAAAACTCTGTTTTCAAATGCCAAAACTGATTTTTCAAATGCTGCAGAACTCCGTTTTCAAATGCTAAAACTCTGTTTTCTAATGCCAAAACTGATTTTTCAAATGCTGCAGAACTCCGTTTTCAAATGCTAAAACTCTGTTTTCTAATGCCAAAACTGAGTTTTCAAATGCCAGAACTCCGTTTTCAAATGCTAAAACTCTGTTTTCAAATGCCAGAACTCCGTTTTCAAATGCCAAAACTCTGTTTTCAAATGCCAGAACTACCTTTTTAAAAGCCAGAACTCCGTTTTCAAAAAAAACAGAACTACCTTTTCAAATGGCATAATTCCCTTTTCAAATGCCAGAACTCCTTTTTCAAAAGCCAGAACTCCGTTTTCAAATGCTAAAACTCTGTTTTCAAATGCCAAAACTCCTTTTTCAAAAGCCAGAACTCTGTTTTCAAATGCCAAAACCAGGGGCGTAACTCCTGGGAGTGTTGTACAAATTCGGTAAGTTAGTGAAAATGGTATGTCCGAAAATTTTTCTCCCAACAATTTTGGCAAAAGAAATATTAATTATCGACTGAAATGACCATCGGGCACGACTTTCGCCACGCTCTTTTGGGCTCACAATACCCCCAGTATCAATATATCCAAGTTATGGCCCTGCACATACAGAGCCAGAGGATAAACATGGTGTATATAATACAAAATTTTAATGTACTGATTTGTATTTGGCATACAGTATTCCTTCAAAGTTTAAAATATGACTATGTCAGATAACTAGGAAAGGGGGATAGTCTCCCTCGTGGTTAGGCTTATATACCAACTAAACTATAGGCCATTTTGACTGGCTACTTAACTAACAATTGGTGTACAAGACTATTTGCAAATTTTACTAAGCACTATCGTGTGCAGCAGTTATCAGAGTGAGAAAATAATGGTAATAGGGAGTTTAAGTTTCCGGGAACGGCAAACGGCAGGTTCGAAAAATTCTTTGGAAAATTTTCGTTGAGCGTTTTCGTTTCATATTTTTTTTCTTGTGTCGAAAGAACAATCATGCATTGCAGTTTTAAAACAGCAAGTTTATTTACTCTTTATTGCCTGATACCGTAAAATTTTTCTTTGCCTAGCGTTTGCAGTACAACGCGAAGCTTAAACTCTCTAATTCTTTTCATTATATGTAAATATTTGGTGGCAAAGATCATTAGCCAGAAAGTGAAATCATAATATAACCTCTCTAAGTTAATTTAACAGCTACTGTGGTGCATAATTTTATGTCCTGTCCAAGGTAAGTGCAGTACTAATGGATGATTGGTTCAATTATTATTCCTTGTCCGTGTATAGTTTAAATAATTATTTTTTGTATTCGATTCTTTCAACTTTAACTTCATCATCAACCAGCTGGTAGACATACGTCACAACTGTTGAGGCTTGAATATCCATGAGAACGAACGATGGTGTCACTTTTCTGCAAGAAAATAATTTGGCTTTGAAAAGTAAGTGTCTTGCCTATCTTAGAAAGCCCTATTCCAAACATAACTTATTGTGTGCCAGTGCTCTTCCCTTGACAAGTAAAATCGTCTGGTGTTAGACAGAGTAAAATAATGCATTGGGGCCAGTGCAACTCAATGGGTTAAAACACATCGTTTCTGAAAGTTTACCTGAGTAACGCATTGTAAGCACCGGTTGCGGATCCTGGGTTGACATAAAATTTTCCTTCGTGTTCATATGCTTCAAACTACAAGAAAAATTAATGTCCAATATTTCAGTTTCATGCTTTCCGATACTCAGAATAATGTGATTTACTTTCAAGTCTTAATTGTGATGGTAACTTGCAATCATAATAAATATACTAGATATACAAGTACACTAACTTTGTGTGTGTGACCAAAGATAAGAATATCAACATCAAGCTGCCTTTGGACCTAAAAACAAATGAGAAATTTCAAATTCACAGTCTCCTAATATTACCTCGATATGCTGCCATGGTATGAACCAATCTACCTGAAAAGAAATTACCCTTTGACATGCATTTTCAGCGAAGGCCCTTCACTACTAATTTCACGATGAACAATCTTCACTTGAAACATACATCCAAGTGTCCTTAATTTTTTTCATGTAGTCACACACAAACCACAACAGCTTATTATAGAGTACTTCTTACACTGTGCCCTCACATTTGAGATATAATATACCCACCATAGCAAGGGTCTCTGGATCGCCCCATGGAACAACTTGATGGCCATGACAGATACCAATCTTAAACTGACCAACTGTGACAACTTTTTGTTCAGGATATGTTAAGTTCTAAATGAAAAATTGAAATCAGCATACATACCACATGAACAATACCTAGTACTCGTCAGGAAAAGTATTGAGTATCACATGCAACTAATTAGTAACCAATTCACTTTATTAACCTCATCAAAGTCTCCTCTAACAACATGAACATCACCAGCCAACGTCTTTAGATAATCAAATGTTTCCTTTGTACATAGGTTTCCTGTGCATAAAATGTGTTGAATTTTGCCAGGTACCTAGAGCAATGAGCATAATTTCTGTTTTTGATTATTGAATGCAAACATATACATTTATTTTAAAAATGAAACAATTACTAAATCAAGCCTGAAATAACGTTCAAAAATTGTCTGGAAAATGTCGGATCAAAATGAAAATTTGATCGGATATTTTCAAATTTGGTTGGACATTTTTTTCAATACAGGCTAATATTAACTTGTCTGCCGTTAGACAAGTAAAAAAAATAAGTAGGGCGCATTGCGGCTCAATGGGTTAACTTCCTGATATTGACTGTTTGGCTGTTTTGGCTGTCCCATTCCTTCAAGGCAACTGACATTTTTTTGGCTGGACAAAATATCCGACCAATTTAGTCAGACAAACTGTGATTTGGTCGGACCATTATTTCAGGCTATGCTACATGGCAAAAAAATGCCGACCCTGATGCTCAACATGATTGAACAATGTTTTGCTGCCAATGTTGTTCATACTTGTCAACAATATTGAACAATATTGTTGAGCCTGAACAATATTGTTGAGCCAAAGCATTGTTCAATCCTGTTTTCATCAATATTGCAACAACCTGATCGTTTTTTTGCCATGTATTCTAGCTTGATTGTCTGGATACTTCATCTAAGTTGTATGTACACAGTACACTAAGCCAGACAATCTCTCAGATGGATGTTAGGTCTTGACAGATAATCTGTCTCGGGCCATTGTATATTTTAACCTACCAATAACTTCTTAAACTTCATTGGAAGTGTGTTTTTCCTATGAGGTATATGCAGATCACCAAGCACTAAAACCAACTGTTGAAATTTATAAAACAATATTTGATTAGAACTGAAACTAAATATCACGTGACGAATTTTAAGCCAAGTACAGAAAAATCAGTCTTGTTTTCAATCAAAATCGATCTTATTGCATTGAGCAGCATACTCAAAACTTTCAAGTAGCTATCTTTATTTTAAAAACTTACCATCTTTGTCTAAATCTCTTTAAAAACCGAAAGAAATTGAACAAAATGCAGATTGCAAAAATAGACGTATATTTTTGGAATATTTTTACGCTTGAAAGCAACACCGCTGGCTTGTTGAAACTGGGTGTTCAGAAAAGGGGCGTTTATTAGAGAGGGATATATTTTTGTTTCGAAATGTGTCGAATTTCACATGTGATTTTTAACTTGTTTTATAAATATAAACCAAATTGTTCGTCACAGAATATGCGATTAGTTGAGTTGGTTTTATAAGCGAAACCGTCTAGATATGTAAGGAAAAAAATTGTCGCGTGACTTCCTATTGTATTTAGAACGTCAAAATCAACCAATCAGAGTAAAGGTCATTCCACAGTTGCACAACTCGGGAAAAGTTGCAAATTAAACAAAAATTTCCAAATCAGAAACTACAGTCACAAATGACCAGGGCCCCTTTATAATTCACCTTCTATAAACCGATGTGAAATTTTGTACTCTCGTCTACAAAAGTAGAAGAAAAGATGTGTCTGGTGTTACCGAATTAAGGCACTTTGAAAAATTTTAAGACGTAAAATTTGTGAAGAAAGATCGTGGTGTTTGGACCTAAAATTTTGTGTTGACAACTGCAGAGCTATGCCACCAAAACGAAACAGCGAGGACAAAAGTTTAGCCTCCCCACAAAAGACGGGAGCTAGAGTACGAAAAGGCAGAAAGCTGGATAAAGGTGTCAAGAAAAGGCAAAAGGTATAACATTTGTTGAAAATTTCGGTCGAAGATTGAACGCTATGTATATTTTTGACATAGTTGACATTTCGTGCGATATTTGTAGACTACATGCAGTTTAGTTTATATAAACTTTCTGTCTGAGCTGGGTTTATTATAATTCAGACTGAATTTATATACGGGCTTAATGTAAATAGAGATATGAACTTAGTCCATATAGTAAGTTTATGAAATCCTGTAGTAGAGTTTAGTCGTTTGACATCAAAATTTTATAAGATGCCACGTCTTTCTAGTTTCTACAGCAGCAAAAATTATATCATAGTCCAAAAGCGCGCTAATGGTGCTACTATATGCGTAAGGCTTTCTAAAAAGCATTGCTTTTGTTTTTATTCATGTCAATGTTTCAAAAAAATATAGGTGGCTTTACTCAAAGTAAAATTCAAACATATTTTAGGGCAAGCGGAAATTTGACATAAAATTAACAGTTTCAAAACTTTGTATTTTATATTGATCTGTGTCATGCTATATATTATATATATGAACTATTTAGTGTCTTGGTTAGACTTGCTCATTTCCTAAAAGGCTTTGGCATTTACCGTTGCAGTTATTATTTGAGTATGGATTAGCTCATCAGAGGGAAGCAAATCAGCTTTTGTTTAGTCAAACAGCCTCAGCTAAGATTTGGTGAAATGTTTGCAAAAAATTCCTGTTATATTGCGATTTTAGCCGCATGTGCAAAACAGTCTACTTCAATTTTTGCACCACAAAATGCTGTGTAAATAAAGGAAATATAAACTAAGCAATAAAAGCGATTTTAATAGCAATTTTATCGCAAATTTTGCTTGGAATTTTTTACTACATGAGGTTCGCACTTTACTTCCGGCTGCTGAAACCGGAAGCTATTAAAATCGAATCCTTAGTTTTTCCGTTCTCAGAGCATTCAATTTTTCATCAATTTAATGCCATTGTTACGCAGTTTAAAGAGTACCTACCTACCAGCAACCTTTTAAAAACACTTGTAATTCACCTTTCAAGCCTTTTGGGGGTAATTTTAACAGGTTTTGCCCGTAAATTTGCCCAAATTTTGATTGAAATTTTATTTCTCATTTAGACTTCCGCCGAAAAGGGGAAAGCGAAGAGAGCATGCTCAAAACGTCCCAAACAACAAAACAATATGGCGACCACATTTGACAGCGATGAAAATAATTCCGACCTTTCAAGCGAAGATGAACGTGGATTTTTCCAAATGGCAGAATCGGATGAAGGTTTTTATGTGCCTTGAAAGTTTATAGTGTTAAATGTAAAGAAAAATAAGGGAAGCTGTTGATAGAATCTGTGTAAATAATCCAGAAATAGAAATTGGTTAAATACAAACATATAAAATCTGTGCCTCTGCCCCCCTCCTGTGGACCTATGCATCTCATGACTTGCCCTACAGCACTAAAGTTTCTTTTCTAAAAATGCACTTTGGAAGTGCCTTCACAATTTACATACTACATACTTTTTCAGACACAGAAGATGCTAGTGAGACAGACATGGCAAAACTTGAAGAAGAATTCAGTGAATTGAAGGAACAGTTAGTTTTCTCACAATTGATCCTAATGTACAGTAGAACCCCCTTAAGGCCTAATTCCACGATGAGCGAAATGCGATTTCTACTCCGTTGCGAAATGGAAATAGCGAAGCCAGTCAAATGCTTGTGTTTTGGATGACAAAATAGCGAAACCAATAAAAAATGCTTGTGTTTTGGCAAATTTTTTCTCTACTGTGGAAATCACTACGAGAGAAAATTTTCGCATTTCGCTCGTCATGGAAGTAGGCCTTTACGGCTGAAAAAATTTGGACAGGCTGAAAAAATTTGGCTGTATTAATTAATTAACAGGATATCGTTATAAGAAAATGAATTACCTTGGTGTTTTTCTGGGACAAAAATAAGTGGGTCATAAGGCCAAAGTAAAAACTAAAATAACTTGGTTAGTGTCCCTGCCCGACCAGTGAAAAAGCTCCTGACCCAACTTTTTTATTTTTTTTATTTTACATAGATAATTTTCTATTAAGAAAGAATTTGTCCACTTTTATATAAATAAACCAACATTCACAACCGGCATTACATTTCTCAGCAGTCGACTAGTGCTGGGGTGTCATATACACCCTAACCAACATTTGATTGCTAGAAATCCTCTATATATTAAATATGCTCATATTTTATATCCCTGGGAACGAGGCTGCTTTTTATAGGTGCAAATCAAAGAGGTTTTCAAAAAACCCTTCCCCCTACTCTAAAAATTAGGAAAAAAGGTTCTTGGCATAATAAAGAGATGACCATATCAGGATGGCTGTAAGATGAGGTTCCACTGTGCTAGTTTCCTAGGTCCATTTCAGACAGCATATTTTTCATGTCCCGAACTGTTGTATTAGATGCGACCCCAGAGTGGTGTAAATAGAGAATAATACATGGGTGCACGGAAATACCAGATTTATTTCAACACAAGAAATAAATCTGGTATTTCCAAGCACCCATGTATTTTTCTGTTTATTATATAAAGGACAGTCTTTGAAAAGCGATAATTTTTACAGAAAAGCGATAATTGAAAAGCAATAATTTTCACATGTGAGATTATCATGAATAATCTCACATGTGAGATTATCACTTTTATCCGTGCTCGAAATCTCTATAAAGCACTATACTTTATTTAATAAGATAATTTGTCACGCCAAGTTCTGCCATACTTAATTTAACTGAGTCACAGTTCATGTGCAGGGCTCGAAATTCTATCAGATATATTTAATTTCATTTGCTTACCACAACTCATTTATGTTTGAAATGTGAGTCTAAGTTTACTGTAGTAAAATAGACTAGTTAAAAACAATAAAAATGCATGTCATGAAAACATTGATTTTTACAATATGACTCATATGAGACATCGCCATTTTGGCAGTTCAATGAATAAAAATGGCAGGCTAAAATTTATTTCACCTGCCAAATTTTTTTTTTTCTCTATGTCAAGCCCTGTTCAAGTGTCACTCTGCTGTTGCACCTAATTCATCAATTAAGTTTAGCACATGAAATTGTGACCTTACTAATTTTTTTCTTCTGAAGGGTGTATCAAGAAAAACTTAGCAAATACAAGAAACAACTTCAAGAGCTAAATAATGGTAGGAATAGGTATTCTCTACCCTATGGAAGACATACATGTACACACTATGTGATTACTGTGCAGTCGACTTTCTTGGGAGAATTTGGTTGCGACACTGTGATGACAAAGTATTGAGAACTCTTTCTGTATCGTAGGAACCCAGGTTGATTATTTAAAGAGGTTGAATCAGTTGGAGAAGGAAAGAGATGATCGATTGTTTTTGGCAGGTATTTGAACTTACCATGAAATGTAGTAATAAGCTTTCTAGCTTTTGGTATAATTCTCCTTCTTTAATTAATGTAATACCATATTATTTTTTATAGAGGTTTGCAAGATGTATGAGGTATGATTATTCAGTTTTATCATAGCATCACTAAAAACTCCAACAAAATGAAGTCAGGGCTCAAAATAAGGGGAGATCGGTCTCCGGTCAAAATGACTGGTCAACTTGATTTTAGCTCGGTTAAAATCTGTCATTGATACATTTACACTAACAGTGAAACAAACTATCAGAAACTTGTTTCAGTACATCATAAATATGGCATCATCATGTAATAATTTGCTGATTGATTAGATTTTTTATTTTGTTAGATCGAGATGCTAAACAAAGAATGTGAAGAAGAGAAGAAAACAGCAAAGATTGAGTATGAGGTAACTTATTGATTGTTTCATTATCTGAGTAATTGATATTCTGATTGAGTGTTGTATTGATTAATTATCTGATTGATTGATAAATTCATTGATTGTCTAATTTATTGATTATCTGATTGAGTTATCTATTGGTTTACTAACCAACCAATAAATTATCTAATTGATTTATTATCTGATTCATTGAATTTCTGATTCATTGATTTTCTGGGTCACTGATTTTCTGATTTATTATCTTGATTATCTGTTTAGATTTGTTATCTGATTATATTGATTATCTGATTTATTGACTATCTGATTCATTGATTTTCTGATCGATTGGTTATCTGATTGATTGATTATCACATTTATCTGACTGATATTATCTTGTTGATTGATTTTCTGATTGATTATCTGATTAGATTGATTATCTGATTCATTGATTATTTGATTGATTGATTTTCTGATTCATTGATTATCTGATTAATTGATTCATTGATTGATCAATCAATTTGATTGATTGACTGAATGTCTCTAATTAGTTTATATTGAATTATCAACTGAATGATGTTTTCTAGAATAAGAAAGTAGAACTAAAAGAAACACTCCTACAACAACTGGATGAAAAGAAGAAAAGTTTAGAGTTGGAAAAAGTATCAATGGAACTCACGAATGGTAGGAATTGATGAAAACTTAAATCCAGAAATTACAAGACACATATTTCACAACATATTGTGTTTCAGATATCCTGGAAAGTAAACCCGCAGTCACCAGAAAATTACGACGTCGTCCCAATGATCCGCCTCCAGCCCCTGAAAAAAGAAGAAAGAATTCACCTGATATCCTTTTAACCCATTTAGTGGCGGCACTCTCCCCTTGAGAAGTAAATCATCTGGCATTAGACAGAGTTAAATAATAAAGTTAGGCACAATGCAATGGACCATTTGCATTATATACTAAATTTTGATCTAAACAAGTCTAGACAAAAATTTCATCAGCTTGAAAGAGCGTCACAAAATTAGTAATATTCCAAAGTTTTGTTGCGAAATGTTGTAAAATGCGGATAATATAGCCTTGCGAAGTTTGCCGTTTTTCAGTCCTTTTCTATATTACAAACGGGAAATTGACAGCCCCAAAGTGTATTGGGCTGTCAATTTCCCCCACGTAATGCAAAATGACTGAAAAACGGCAAACTTTGCAAGGCTATATTATCCACATTTTACAACATTTCGCAACGGAACTTTGGAATATTACTAATTTTGTGATGCTCCTTCAAGCTGTGATGAAATTTTTGTCTAGACTCGTTGAGATCAAAATTTAGTCTATAATGCAAATGGTCCATTGAAGCAGTCTGTACCAGTGTAGGTACTAGTGGCAATAATAATAAAGCCTCGAATTGCTAGGGATACTACTACCTGAAAAATACAAGGAGAACTTTGGACTTTTTTTTGTATGTTTGAGGTAGTTGCGTGGCTTTCTAACATACTTTAAGCCTGTTTTATTCGTCGAATTTTGGTATAAATAATTGATTCAAAATATGTGCCTTAGGGCTGTTTAATACGTCGAATTTCGGTCGCATCGAATGCAATTAAGACAATAGATAATGAGATGATATACCTCATTAAGCTTCATTATCTATTGTTTGAATTGCATTCGATGCGACCGAAATTCGACGTATAAAACAGCCCTAAGGCACATATTTTGAATCAATTATTTATACCAATGCAGTGGCATATTTGGAGAAAGACCAAATCCACCAAAATTCTTAATGCACAAAAATATGATAGAGCAAATCTCCAAAAGTAAACTAAACAATTTGATAGCCCAAGAGTGTTATTCTTAACTCTGTTCACTCCACATCAATGTACTTCTTGAAGAATCTGAAGTGTTGGAAGATCTAAAAGCCATGAACAAATTACACAGCGTTACAACTGAGGTAAATATCAATCAAGTACCCAGCTTAAGCTAGTATGGAAGTTCCAGACAGCTACAATCTACAATCCTGGACAAAAGTGTTGGGACACTCAAACTTTTCCACCCTTGAATTCTAAAGACAACGCCCCCGTCCCCTCCCCCACCCAACTCAATGTTGAAAGTTCTTACAATTTTAGTTAAGGATGCCCCCAAAATCAACATTGAACGGGGGAGGGGAGGGGGTTCGGTTCAAAAGCATATTTTGCGTTAAATCTGCTTTCCTGAAGAGAACAATAAATACATGCGAAAATTTTGGGTTGTCCCAAGGACTTCTTGGCCAGGATTGTAGGTTTTGTTTGTTTATTTTGCTGCATGAATATTTTGCTTATTTTCGTACAGAAAAATGGTTCAAAAGTTAATAAAAGTTCAAACAACACCAACCAGAATACCAACCATAGTAAGTTGAACTTCATTTTATTGTGGATTGTGGAACATCTTTCTTTCTCCTAAGCATGGGTGTATCAATATTTTTGTTTCTTGAAGTTTTTTTGGGCGAAAGTTTTCTGCAAAGATCACGAATATTCTTCCTAATAAATTATTTTCTTGGCATACATAAGTATTTTGTTATTGTCGATTTCAAGTCACGTTCGCAACAAAGTTCGCTAGTACATTTCAATGTTTGAACTATTGTAAACAAATGTTCATAGTTCAAGTTGAAATTAGCAATTCAATGGAAAGTTCTTGGTCCAGTGGGTTACCAAGAAGGTTTGTATTTCATTGAATTGGATATTATTATTGAGTGTGAACATTTGTTCACAAACGAAGTTCAAACATTGCAATGAACTTGCGAACTTTGATGCGAAGTTTGCGCCCAATTTCCGAACTTGGAAACATAATTGGCAAGTTCGCAACGAACTTGGGAACCGCGCGTTGAAAAGTGACTTGAAGTCGACAATAATATTATAATATTCCTGCCCAATGTTCGTAGATAATCAAGTTGCTGATGCACTCGCAACATCACATTACGATATCCGTGTAGAAGATGGTAAATTGTTCCATGACAGAAGATGGTTAGTTGAACGAGCTATTTTCATTCAGAATAAACTACGGTAGTTTTCACAAATGGCTAAAAGCAGGGGTTGATTTTTTTTTTAAAAATTAAGTTTAGTAAACGAATAAGATCTGATCACCAAATCTGATATCAGGTCTCCCTATATCGATGTGTTATGCAGTAGATCACAGAGATATCTTAGGGCTTTAGAATTACTTTATTATTTCAAGTTTTTTTAAAGTTTCCACCAGGCCTACCTTTCGCAAATAAGTACAGCACTTTTTTTGATTGCATATTTAGATGAATATTTGTTTAAACAAACAAACAAACAAACAAACAAACAAACAAACAAACAAACAAACAAACAAACAAACAAACAAACAAACAAACAAACAAACAAACAAACAAACAAACAAACAAACAAATATCTGGTCGCCAGAAGATTGGTTGCAATTGGCGACCTGGCGCCCGCTCATTTCAACCCCTAGGTAAAGTTAGTCGTATGAAAAAAGGTAAAACTTTCTCTCCAAACTATTTTCGAAGGTATCACAGAGGACAGCAAGTTTATGTCGAATCAAAAGAAAGCGGGAAAGTCAGGTAAAACCAATGAGTCTAAACTGAAGTGAAGCCAAAGATGAAGTTTGTTTGCAACAAGGCTTCAAGCCCACGAGGAATGCTGGTCTTAGTGGTCATCGCCCGGGAAAATTGAACAATTCAAAATGGCCACTATTGAAATTTTCCTGGGCGATGACTACTAAGACCAGCATTCCTCGCGGGCATCAAGCCTTGTCACGTCATTATGCGTAAGGTGTATTGCAGGCACATTTTAAAATACTGACATTTTTTTAACAATATTTAGGTCACAAAATCTAAGTAAGATGTGTTTTTGCATGCACATTTTGAATTTCGCTCGCAGGCACGAAAAAATGTTAATGAGACCTGTTTGTTTGCTTGTAGTTTGTTTTAGTTTTTTTTTTTTAATTTCTTCTGACATGTTGATATACGTTTTCTAGTGGAATTATTCACGCTATAGGACCAACCGAAGTAAGTCGAATAAGAAATGAATTTCATTTCTACCAAACTGTACAGCTTCTCTCCTGGTTTTGTGCTAAAATTTTTTTCCCTTTGTTTTAGATCTGTATAAAAAAGACAACTGATAACAGCAAGTTGAGGATAACGATCAGTCAGTTGCAGAAAGGAAGATACACGATACGACGTCGGAGCTCTTGAATTCTCCGTCCTCGTTGGTCAGCAGGGCGGTCGAGAGGTTGCGCGGGGCAATGTGCCCCCTTCGGTTGACCAGGTTACTGGAGAAGTTCAGATTTGACTACCGCTTCATGCCGACAGTGAGCTCTGTATATATATATCTGTAGCGAGAACTCGAGTCCAAAAACTGAAGCCAGCTTCGTGTCAACCGCGCAGACAAAAACAATACTGAAAGGGACTGGAACTGACGTCCAATTAGCCATTCCGAAGTTGATTAGAGGGCTGGGGACGAGTGTTAAAAAGTGACCAAATTAAGAAATGAACCAAATCACTAAAAAGATCACCTCAAAATTAGTAAGTATACAAAGTTTGAAGACGTTTACATGAATACCCTTCGAATAATAAGCTTTCGAAAATCGCGATATTTACTATGAAATGTACTGTAATTTTTGTTTTGGGGGACGCACGTCCCAAAAACAATCTTTTAATCAGTAATTTCACAATTTTCGAAAGCTTATTACTCGAAGGGTATTCATGTAAACGTCTTCAAACTTTGTATACTTACTAATTTTGAGGTGGTCTTTTTAATGATTTGGTTCATTTCTTTATTTGGGCACTTTTCAACACTCGTCCCCAGTCCACTCATCAACTTCGGAATGGCCAATAGCTCCTTAAATTTCCGCCAATTGATCCAGCATGATCTGGTAGGGGGGTGCTCTGCCAGCTCTGGTGCCGAGTTGTGTCGATCTTGTGCATCGCCCACCCATCAACTTGCTTGACTACCGCAAAGTTTTGCTTGACTACTGTATTTGAATTGTAATTATTGTTCACAGTTCGCTTATCATCATGTTATAACTCAAATTACTGTATCTTATTTTCTCTAATATTTTTTGCTTTATCATGAAAAATAGCACACCCCCCTGCACCCCCTCTGACCAGTTTCAGTTTATAATCTGGCCAAGGGGTACGTCGCACACCCCCCAGCCCCAGAAAATCCACCCCTGTTATATAGGTGTCGGTAGTGGAAGTCAAATCTGAAATTGTCTGTGACCGGCTTTACACAAGTGAATTAACCGAAGAATTTTCTTCTCTTCGCTCAAGAAATCAAGTTCCATCCAGACGTATAAGTATAGAGTAAAACGGGTTGACCGCTTGTATACGCTTTCATAATATAACCTTGTAAAAAGTACCAATTTGTGAAATATTTATTAAAAGTATGCATTTCATCGCGTTTGTCTTTTCATGAGTATTGGGTCCCGTTTACATGAGACTGGGCGAAAATGACTCGGACTGGTCTCAAGTCATTCGCCTGCTGGACAAGCTTATGGGATGAATGTAAACACAAATACATTTCAGACCGGTCTCGGCTGTAATCTTAAGCTTGACATTGAAACAACACATGCTAACAAAAGCCATCTAAAAAAGGAAAATTGTCTAGCAAGGCCAAGGGGAATAAATTGACAATTTTCCTTAGGCTTAGCAGAAAAGAATAATTATTATTGACAATCATTAATATTGTATAGCTAACTATTTTTTATATCATGACCCTGGAAGACTTCAACTTGATTGCCCTTGGGTCGTAAGCTTGAGATTTTCCCGATAAACTAAAAATAAAAGTCTAATTAGAATCATCAATTGTTTTAACGAGATTAGTTTATAGGATATCAAACAAATTTGTAGTAATTACATTTTAATAATTTTGCAATTCGAATTTTCTTTAATCCCCAGAGGTAGTAATTACTTTCTGCCTTAATCTTTTTAAATTGTATCCTGTAATAAATTTCCCTGCCAAATTTAGGTGGGTCATGTAAAATGAGTTTGCAATGAGTTTTAAGACCTCGAGAAATATTTCTCTATACGGACCTCCAATCCGGTAAATAACATATATATATATGTAAATGAGATTTAATTCAACTACTCTCGTTAGTGGACCGAATGATTAATCGTTCCCATCCTACATCTCATTATTTTTTTCAATCCCGGGACTGGGTACCAGTCAGCTCTAGAGAGAACAGTTGGACACAGAGTACTTACATGCTGCAGAGGTCTTGCTTCAGGTTAATTTAGCGTAAGGGATTTTTGTTCTTAGCAAGTGCCCTAAACCCCCTGAAAACATATTGAATTTTAATGTTCCAGGGGAGTGAATGTCTCTCTTTAGGGCACTTGCTAAGAACATGGTCGCCAGCTATTTTCAGGTAAAAACTACCTTACGGTTTTCCCACAGAAGGTAAGACCTCTGTATGTACGTACTCTGTGGTCTGAATCCAGAGTCTGGCTCTGTGCCCACTCCTAACCGGCGAACGGGCATGCTGCTCTGGATAACTCCACATAAATAAAACTCCTAGTTTAGACTTCGAAGTGGGATTAAAATTTCGCCATAAACAATGAAAGCTCACGTTATCCTCTTTTAACAGGATTAGCTTTTAAACATGACACAAAGCTGACGTAATAAGTTTATTAATTAAGGCCATATACTCACAAGTGAATAGTTACCGAAAAATGTGTTGAAAAACGGGAGCTTGCTGAGGTTTTGACATCATATTAACATGTGTTTAAAACGCTTTCTCAAACTCTGTTATTCATGAGCAAAAAGCAAAGGAAACTAGTTTCGTTGTCTTGATGCCATAGAAATAAACGTCCAAAATAGAAAATAAACAGCTTTTAGTTTATGCGTGCAAGGGGGCGATGGGAAGTAAGGTGTCATATTGCTGATTATGCTGAAAAACTAAAAATATAATCCGTGTGAACACGGAGTGATAGCTTATACTTGTAAATATTGAAATGTTTCGGCAGTTTTTATTGAAATATAGTTCAGCATAATCAGCAATATGATACCCTGCTTGCAGCGGTTTCTATACCTTACTTCCAGTGGTTTCTCATAACTTACTTCCTAAATGCGCGCATAAATTAAAGCTGGAGTTGCCTATTAACCCAACTCTGAGCTAGTCTAACTTAGTCTTCAAACACAAGTCCGTTTGAGAAGTAATATAGTAAACTCGAAAGCTGTTTATTATCGGCGTGTAAAACACCTCAAATTATGTGGGAAAAAACTTAGCTAGCGCCCATTTTTCCGAACACATGGTATTCTATACACGTGGGTAATAAACGCTTTTCTCTTTTTAATGCATCGTGACTTATTTGATTTCAATACAATCTGCCTCACATCTCTTCCTGGCAAAGCGGGATCATATATTCATATCATAGATATCTTATATAAACTAGATAGCGCATCTCTTTTAGTAAAATTGAAGCCAAGAATATTCCACCGGTTACCCCCATTTGAATAGATGGCGGCCATGTTGGAGTTTCCCACTCGCTAACTAACGCTTAAAAAACAACAATAACTTTCATCATTTGAATAGTTTGAAAATGTATTTGGAATAGGTTTACCTTAGTGTTTAAGTTCCCTGTTTAAGAAATAGAAAACATACGAGTCTTCTCATTTCATGGGAATATCCTGAGTCTGCAATCACGGCTTCAATTTTTGAATTGCAGAATAATTAGATGCACTATCTAGTGTATATAAGATATCTATGATTCATATAAACAGTCCCTTATTCAGCAAATTGTGCATACTGCCTTAGATCCCTTGAGGTCCTAGTATTTATTTAACCGTCGCATTAGTGATTAGGAGACGATGCCGTGTAGATTCCCTTTGTTGTTTTTTTTTCGATAAGTACTAGTAGATGTGTTGAAAAACGAAGCGCTGGCCGCTCAAGGTTTAACGTGTAATCGAGATGTTTTGGAAAAAAAGCGTGATATTTCACATGTACAATTGGTCCAGAATTATCATTATAATTAAACGGGTTATTAATAAAACATTAATTAAACACTTTAAATATACTTTTTGCGTGAAGCGTGAAGGGCTTATTTTACTTAGCCGTGAAACGTGATCGATGATTTTCTTAATCCGTGACTCGTGAAAAGGCAAAATAATTTTACGTGAAAGCATATTGTGAAGAGGTATGGGGGGCCCTCTTTAAAAAAATTACCAATAATTCGTGATCATGAGAAAAAGGAAATCAGTCGGTAGTGAGTGTGGGTGGTTTTATATGTGATAATTTACATAAACGTTAGCGATCGATTTTATCGGTTTAGACAACGCCGTCGATTTGTTAAAATTACTTCGCCAATGAACTCATAAGATGGTTCGTTTTTTAAACCATTTAAAACACTCGCAGACGCAGTCCGTGATATTTGATAAAGCACTATCCTGCTCGTGTTAATTTTAATAAATAATAAGTAGTTCTTAAAATTTCGTGTCACAATTTGTCATGCATGCGTTTTTTCGTGCAAAAACCTAACGACTAGACGAGCATATAATTTACGCTGACAGTTCTTGTTGAAAGCTTCTGCAAGAAAATACGTCGCTTCGTGTACGTTTCGTGAGAGACTTTAATGAAATGTGTTTAAGTGTTGAAAAATACGACCCATGTTCGCGGTTTACCAACGGCGCTAAAAATTAATTATCGCTTAATTTTAGTGGAAAATTTTCGTGAGGAAACACAGTTACATTGCGTGTATTTGTAATAGTTATCACACCTTTTGTACCACATGAATGTGATTATAAATGGAGTGAAATTCAGAGACAAACAGAACTGATTGTCTTAGCCGAGAAAATCAAAGATGAAGTTTATGTAAATCAGGGCAAATCTCCATCCGATTTACAAACATTGATTAAACTTTCATTTCTTTTGTATTGATGTATTAGGTGAAGGAGAAAATCCTTCCCAAAATCCGAAAAAAAAGGGGGGGGGGAGGGGGCAACGTAGCCAGCCAAACTGAGAACCCTTTTCCCGAGGATTTATGTCATGTAAATGAGATTATTTGTCGGCTTCCCTCACATAATTCACAACAAGTACAAACGGAAGGTTATCCACTCGTGTTTGTACGTATGAGCCTGAGAAGAATATAATGCATATCCGATGGTGTGAATGGTCGCAATGTCAGACAGGAAAACTGCAATTATTAGCGCACTTAATGTTGCATAAACGTTGCTTACGTTGTTTGATTTCCATAGAAACAACACACGTCCTACAAAGCAAATTTCAATCCTCGGTTTTTTGCCAAGTTTCTGTTCTGGCCAATAAGGAACATGGCCCCAACGGACTAACGGACTTTCTCAGCTTTGGAGGAACAATTTACCCGTGGAATTGGCAAAAATACCAGTATAGGTTTAACAGAGCTTTAATTGTCTCGTTGATTGTTATTACGGGAAGGAAATTGCACACGGAAACTCCTCAACAATTTCATTTCATCACAGCAGACAACATTATACTGGAATGTCGACTATTTTACATCCTTGCCAATTTTTAAATTACAAATAATTATGGACATAGTTTAAATGAATAAATACTGTAAGTAATCAAAACTGTTAAATTTGAAATAGATGTGGGTTTTTGAAGCATGTTTGCCTTCTAAACCTCTTAGATTGAGTTAATTAATTAGCAAGTTAATTGTGGTAATTAGTTATAGTTAATTTGTTAATTGTTACTTATGGGTTAACTAATTCGGTATAGTTATATTATTCATTAGTTTGTTAATTGTTCAGCGAAATGTTCGGTGATAAAACTAGTTTTAAAACCGAATCCTTTTAGAATGGGTTAACTAATTTGTAGTTAATTAGTTAATTAATTATTTTGTTACTTTACTATTAATTAACTAAACTCAGCGAGATCAAGCAAATCGCTATTTAAAATAAGCTGTATAGTTTCGTGGCAGACGACGTGACAGCTGTTAGAACATTCAGATTTCTGGGTGACCGCAAGGAAAGAATATATTTATACAGGAACAAATATACAAGGTGCCACCTTTACTTGGAATTTGGAATACAGATAAATTTGGCTAACGTCTCTTTTAGCCAAATTGTCTATATTGGCCATTTTTTGTGCAAGGATCCTTTGGTCATTTTGATTTTAAAGCTAAACTAACTTTATAATGGATTTATCTGTCACGTTCCCGTATCTAACTGTTCTCTCGTATTCCTCACTTGCTTAAAACTATAAAAGAAGTTTCCATGTTTAGAAATGGGAAAAAAGGAATGACGGATCATTCTGGGCTAAAAATAACGTGAGTTAGCCGAGCAATATCTGTAAAAAAGGGAAGAGAAAAATCCAAAGAACGTCATATAGGCGAGAACGGAAGATTAAATCGTAAAATCCATTTATTGGTTTGTCATGTGAAGTTTTTGTAAGCTTCTCATTTACGTCAAACTGACGTAGTCAAATTACTATTAATTGGGAGCATCTGCCATTGAAGGCTTGACCCTGCTTTTCGAGGTTTATCAATGAAGCCTCGAGTTTGAAATGCGGGGATAACGCAACATGGTGACCACAAGTTTGGTTTTCTTATAAGGAAAAGATTTGCTTCCAGGCGAGTTTGGAAGGTGTAACGTCCAGCCCGGCTCCATGTGAACAGCTCCTAAACTAACTTTGTTCTTCCTTAACAGTCCTCACAATTCTTTTAAACTGTTCTCCTGAGAAGATCCTTGACCTTTGGTGATGCAGCGTTTTAACAGGAGACCGCAAAAGAAAATCTGTGATGTTTGGTCGAGTCAGAAGCACTCTTGTTACAAGTGACTGAGGGTGATTTGTTTAATTAATAAAGCTCTTATCACGGCTTTCATAAACATCAAAGTTGAATTGGTTTAGTTCCAGTAACAGTACATAAAGTTCATTCAAACGTTTTTTTATGGTCAGGAAAAAATTCATGACACGATGCATCCCCGGCTAGCTAACCGAGCTAGCCTGGCTCATCAGCTCATATGAACAACCCCTTTGATTTAGACATTTTCAGTTAGCTCGTTTGAGTTGCCATAAGCGCTAAAATTAAGGCTAAAATAAGTCAGGAAAAACATGAGTACTGCATGGTTGGCATGAGGAACAGTGGGACTTACAAGACAATGAAAAGACAATGAGAGCATTCTGATCACTGGACCGGATGGCACTATGCAAAAACTTTATCGATTTCACAAAGCATGTTTGGCTGTCGTGATCATGATTGTTTGAAAACCATCTTGCTTGCATTTCAATGACTTCAAACTAAAAATAACCGAACCTGGGACCACACATATACGTTATTTCAATCGCACGGTGAGAACTCCAAACATTCGCTGATTCGCAATAATTTATAGGTCCCGATTAGGGCCTGGGATTTAAGCTGTGAATTTCACAGCAAAACCCTCAGAAGTCTTTCCGCTCCGTTGGAAATTATCCGTAAAAGCTAACTACATAACTCCCAGGGGAGAGGGTTATTTGATATATTTAGGAAACCGCGGTTTTAAAATCTAAGGTCAAAATAGCTAACTCGCGTATCACGTTGCAAAATTCATAGCATATGTGTGTGTGAACCGAGAACGTAACGTAATATTTAGCAAGACTGAACGCCTCACCGATTGTTTTTGGTGATTTTATGAGGCACAAACTGACCATTTAAAACTATTGACAATAATCCTGTTTAATGTACAACGCTGTCAACTATTGACCAATAAGGACAGTGAACAGTTGAATTATAAATGCACTTCCGATCTGTGTAAACAGTTCAGTTATGATTTGAAGCGGCCGAGGTCACACTCATATCACATACCGCCAAAGAACGTACGAGTAAACAGGTCCGAGTTTGTATTAAAAGGAATTTTGATTGTGTTGGGTTTGGTTAGAAGACTCTGCTTTCAACTGTGATTTACGGTGAGTTTTGTATTTAGTTTACAACAGAATAGTTTAATGGTATTGGCCGAAAAGCCGACTTAGCAGTTGAATGATGAATAGAATCTGTTCCATGGATTTGGTTTTTGGTACTGCAACTAACAACAGCTATTTCCATCGTGCGATTCTTTGTATTTTAAAGTTTAAAGCACCAGTTTACACATATTTTTCTTCTACCAAATTTGACAAATATCTACTCGAAGATAAGTAGCTATTGATTCTCGATAAAGTGTGTAGAGTCGTTTCTGAACACCAACATAAAAATGGTATAACTTGGAATGGTAGGACCTCTACTTTGATCGATCAGAATGTTGTCAATTTCGAACGCATGCAGTTCAAAAGTAGCAGTTGCTTTGTGCTGGTAGTCGAAAGTTGCACCATAAACTGCCGTGGTTTGTGTCTGAACTACTCAACAAAGTTAGAAAAACGCTGCGAGCCGTTGACGTTTCGTCTGATGGTTAGTAATTTTAATATCCTCCTGAGAAAGCGCATGAAGTGAATACGTTAATTATCTTATTTAGGTACTTCAGACACAAACCACGGCAGCTACCATATTGTCGAATCCAACCTAGACGGGACCACCACGTTTGAAAATTTATGTATCACTGCATAGCAATTGAAATAAACTCTTTACCAAACAGTGCTAATTAATATAATCACACTATAACAAGATTTATTAATTCACTTTAGTTAGTTGCATATTTGGAAATTACCCACAGGCATCAAACTATTGCTCTTAACTCAACGAGTGTGTTTACAAAACGCACGCCAAACATATAAGCAAACGCGTGTTAAATAAAACAAAGCATCACGCGAAGATAATGTCATAATGACACTCACAGCGAGTCACTGCCTTATACCAAACTAAACTGAATTTGCATTGGTATATAAAATCTTTTATAAAACTAGAAACATCTCTAATTACGCCAAAAATGCACAATACCTAATTGTTTGAAGCATCTGAAGCACGCACGTTTTGACACTTCGCGCGCTTGTATTACTATACTGAAGTTTGATACCCTTGCGTGAGTGAGCGCAATTTATTCTAGTGTCAAAGTGCGTTAACATGACAATACTTATGTCGCGCACGCGAAGTGTCTATTGTCACGATTGCATACGAGATTTTGCATGATGCGCTACAGCGCTGCTTCTCAGTTGCGCGCTATCGTAATTAATTTCACACGGCTCGATTCGTATCTATGTCTGTTATCGCCAGTTGGGTAATGCAACCCTGGCCCATTAGCGCGACGCAGACAGATCATGGCATGACCACGGCATAACGAGATGAAATTTGACGAATAATTTGCGGCAACTACTGAGTTTCATCCAAACAATGGAAACTCCATGGGAATTAAAATTCCTGTATTTAAGAAGGCACATTTTTCCACACTTTTGCTTCTCAAATCTCAATACTCAATATTTCAATACCTTCTCAGAGTGTTATGGAACATTTGATGGCCCCTAGATTTAATTCTCTACGTTAACGAGATTCAACTCTTAAAATTAAATTCAATCCTCGGCATACGTCTGCACTCGAGCTTGACCTTTTGATCCAGATTTAAAAATTTTCCTATTTTGCCAAATTGGCTTTGCAGATATACTATGATGCGCGCTTCGACCGCCTGCCAACTCTTGCTGCGCGCATTTTGCTAATCTGTGTACATAAACAGCACAAATTCGGCACCGACTGCGTCTGTGATTAAAACACAAAGGTCTGCTAAATACTTTAGGTTTTAATACAACAAAGAGTTGTTATTGTCAAAATAATATTCAAAATGTCAGATTTGTTAGAGAGATAAACAGCACGAGACGGTTGAGGCGATTAGCACTTGCGGACAAGCACCATTGACTTGTCGCATTTTAGAATCATCCTTATTTAGAGATATTAGCCATATATGTTGACGATGACTTTGCAAAGAGCAGCCGAAAATCTCTGGGAAAAGTATGTTTATACAAAACATCAGCTAACGCATCGTTTTCAACGCGCAATCAAGACCGCGTTTACGGTGCTGGATTCCTAATTTGTGTTTTGCGCATTTTGTTTTCTGACGAACAATAGTTAGTTAATCCTTATGGTATTTTCTTTAGGTAATTTCACGCTATGCACGAGACAAGAAAACGCATTTTTCACGTATGGATATGCGTAATTCCCTCGCTTCTCGTCGCGACTGCAGCAGGTAGGTTAATCAAAAGTCATTAACTCGAATTAATTGAGAAACAGAAAGTTCCAATTACAATGAATTAACGTTAAACCATTTCGGCGTGCGTGGATTTCCTTAATCCGAATTTCTAAAGGTGCACTGTTTACAAACGAATTAAAACGCTATGCCTCTGTGTACATTTCGATAACATGCCCTTTAATTAGTCGTTGCCGGTTTAAATAATGGATGGAAACGTATTGAAACTATTCTCTTTTACTCTTTAATTAAGCTTTTAACTGTATCGGCGCGCGCTTTGCCTTTGACCCCGCAAAAATACACAGTCAACAAGCGGAGAAAGTTATAAGGGTTTGGTCAACGTTTAAGAGCAGCACTTAAAATGATGACCAAAAACTATTCGCTTTTAAGCTCTTAACTCCATCAGCGTGCGCTTTGCATTGAGGCCGCTAAAAGACAGAATCAAAACAATGCGTTACAAATTTAGAAGTAGGGGTCATCCATTTTTGGCGCAGTGTTACTACAGGAGGGAATTAATGGTGTTTGCCTATTTGGTAGAGTAACACTGCAAGCGCCCTTATCACATGTGACTGATGTGAAAAATAGATTACTTCATATTGCATGAATAGTGTATATGAATCGAATGCCTGTCGCAGAAGCGAATGGGGAAAATTACAAGCGGGTTTGGTACAGTATATTTAAGAAAATTCTATCAGCGCCAATATTTTATATTATATAAACAATAAAAGGTTAAGCCTTCTGGTCTGTGCGATCTATTCACAGCTCTCTGTTGTGGGCAGTGCGGAAAATTGCCCGGAAATTTACTCGAATTGGCAAGTCCATGGAACATCCGTGCGTCGACATTTGTGACATGATTACTTTGTACCTTGCGTGGGCTTGGACGAATGACGGAATTTTTGTTTCTTCTAATTGAACGAAAAAATGTTTTAATAAAAAACGGAGGTATTCTATCTTGCACTGTGGTATTCAAATACAATTTTTGTACACATTTGTACATGATTGCCCTCCAGCGAAACTGGGTGTTAATGGCATGGTGTTTAGTGCATGTATCTTTACCTCTGCAGAACAGCAACCAGATTCGATTTCCACATTCAATAGTTTTTAGCTGTTAGTTTCAGTTGATAAAACTATCCAGTATAAGTAAAGTTAGTTTAGTTTATGTTTCCTCCAGTAGAAACACTGGAACACAAAATAAAGACTATTAATAAGGGATGACCTTTATTGGGATTTTAGTTCCAGTATAAATAAAGTTAGTTTGGTTTAGGATTCGTTCTGCATGCATTGAGGCATGCGTAGTAACACGTAGAGAGCTCGCAAGGACTCTCAAAATTCAATTTCCAACCTGCGAACGGGCATGCTCTGCTTTACGTAAATAGGGAATCTCAGTGTAGAAGGAATTGCCCACAGCCCACTGGCTGGGACCTCTTCTAGGGAGAATATTAACTTCTTATTGCTATACTGTGATAGAGTCATCCAAAGTAGTAAGCCATTTACATCGGTCAAACTGATACCAAAAGCGGTTTCAATGACAGACTGAGGTGTTTTTCTGACTTTGATGCCTGTTTAAACAACTTGCTGATAAATTGAAGTTATTGTGCGCCACACTGTCACAGGAAACTGAGTTTAGGTTTTTGTCGAGGGTCGAGTGTCGAGGGTCCAATGTCGAGGGTGAGGGTAAAAAGTCGAGGGTGAGGGTGAAAAGAAAAAAATGAGTTAGTTAGTTAGTTAGTTCCATCAACTTAATGAGTTAGTTTCTAGACCAGAATTCTCCCTTAATTCATAATTTACATAATGAGAAACACCGTTTTAAAAACTCTTTTATCGTTAGCAGTTGTCTAAGTTGTCGTAAAAATACAACCCTTGACTTTTTTTACGACCCTCGACTTTTTACCCTCGCCCTCGACGTTTTACCCTCACCCTCGACGTTTTACCCTCACCCTCGACATTGGACCCTCGACACTCGACCTTCGACAAAAACCTAAACTCCAAGAAACTCCACCAAAATTACTGTGATTCACTGCAGATGTCGCACACTGATTTTATCATACCAATTTACTCGTGAGCGTAAAAATCTCGCAAATTATGAAACTAAACTAATTTTATACTGGATAGATTTTGCTCTAAAGCGATCTAGTACGAGCTATCCCATTTCTTCTCAGAATACATTCCAGTTAAAATGAAGTTACATGTATAATGAACAACTCCAAATTACAGGAATCATACTATTCTCAAAAATACTTCGTATAAAGTTGCTTGCTGTATACCTTGTCAATTTACATACACGTTAATTTTTATATTCAAACGGGAAAGGCTTGATGTTTTCCTCGGGCAAAATTTGAGATAGTGTACTTTATAAACAATTTTTTGACGACAGGAAATTTCTAAAATTCGAACAAATCACCGCCTGATCTTATCGTTCTCCGGTCTTATTCATTTCATAATCGTTTGCGCTTTTCAACGTAGTTGTTTACTGCGGGATTTCTTTGTAACTAGAGGCGCAAAATGATTAGAAAAGTGCGCACATGTGATTTAGATAAAATGCGCAATCTAGTACAGTAATGTGAGTAGATATCTTCTCAAAACCACTTCATATTTGTTTTTCATCTTATCTTTGTCTAGTTGTTTACAAAGGTAGTCTATAATCTATATAGGTTTTGCCTTTGTAGCTATTATTAAGAACTGTAAAAGGTGCAAAACGACGGGGCGTTATCTTTCGAAAATATTTGCGCATTTGAAGATTCTGGATATAAGTTTTACGAACTATTAATTTACAACATACGTGTTGTTATCGGATATATAACATGTTGTATATTTGGCTTGTGAAACGTTTTGATGAGAGCATTCGTATTTTTCAACAATTTAAAATAAATTAATGATATTTGGTGAGATTGAACTTAACGTTTATGTAAATCAGCATGATTTTCTATCAGATATACAAACTCCTTCACGCTCATGCATGATCAATTTCGTTTGTGTTTTTTTATGAATTATGAATGCGTTTTACAAGCCGGGTTGGTAACTTATTTTCGTCAGAAAAAGGTAGCGCGGCATTTCACAATGAAACTTTTGCGCAGCCTTTGAAGTAAATAGAAAGAATAGCGAACGACAGATATATGACATAGTTCCAAATTCAAAATTTGCTATAACAGATCTAACTGACTGATTTTAATTTGCGCATTGCAATTATGCAACAAACAGGAGCATATAAAATTTCGTAATATAAAAAGCGCAGCCTTTGAAGTTTACCATCACGGATAAACGACAAAACTCTTGATCCAAAAATACTTTACAAAACTGAAATTAATTTGTGCATTTCATCTACTGATTTCATCACGTGGAATAAGTTATGTACAAAAGTACAGCGCATGCTTTGAAGTCGATCCAAATTGAGCCAAAGAGTGACAGTTGACAAAAGTTTTAGATTCGACAACAATTCACAATGCGGTGAGGCCTTTATGTAAATAGGAAGTGAGTCAACGATGGATGACGACAAAGTTCTAGATTTCAAAACCAAATTCATAAAACAGATGACTGATATAATTTGCGCAAAAATTTGCGCATTTAGCGAACAAGATAAGAAGCGTGCGCTCTTTGATCACAGACAATAAGTAAATAGTGCGTCCACGCCTTTTGCGATTCATAATATAAACAGACGACTTCATACGAGCAAACTATAGTCTAGCAAGATATGATATAATCTGGAAAATGAATAGATTGTGTTATGTTTTTGTTCGAGTTTTATGTTAATTTGTGCACGTTCACGTTGATGAGCTCGTTGTATTTCGGTATAATACTATAATGAATTAATCCGGCTTAATAGGAACAGCTGAGATGAAACATGCAACCACGATGAATAGTATTTAATGAAGTTAAGGCAAGCGATTTGTGCACGGTGAGCTACAGTTCAACATAAAAAAGACCTTCTGTTTTGTACTTTGAAGTTTGCTGGGCTTGAACTGACTATACTGACCTATAGTAAACGTTTTCACAGTTTCACAAAAAAACTGAAAACTGATACGTTTCACCTTTCAGTTTAAACCATGTACTTTCTTTGCGTAAGCTGTCTATAGTCTTTAAATATCACTGATCATAGAAACAAAGTATAAAATTTGAAAAAAAGTTGAAAAATAAACAAGTATAATGCTACAAATGTGGATAAAGAGGTAACACGTCATAAGTAAGTAAGTAAGAGACAGATTAGTTTACATTTTCATGGCTCATAAATCAAACAGTACACTAAAAGCTTTTTATGGATGCTTTCCTTTGATGGATAGTGTCATTGATAGTGTCTTTATTTGAAGTTTTTTGAGTGTTTTAAGTTTACCAGCAACAGATGGTTGCAGTTAATATGTGTCTATTCATAGCGTGTGATACAATGGACTCCTAATTAAATATAATGTCCAAACATGCGCGTCATAAATCAATATTTTCCCTCTCCTGTAATCGGACTAAAAGCAAGACTAACAGTAACTCTAGACTATGTACCGATAGCTCAATCAATTTTGACTAAGCTGTTGGTGGTCGCACTTAGGAGCCATCCCTTTGTGGCCCAGTGTTTACAGGAATAATCCTTAAGTCTAAACTAAACTAACTTTATTTATACTGGATATAGCTCTATCGCAGTATCGGTTCTAAATTGTTCTCCATAAAGATCCAATAAGGGCGTCCTTTATTAGCCAAGTATTGCAGGAACAATCCTAAATTAACTTTATTTATACTGGATAGGTCTATCAGTTTTAAACTGTTCTCCGTAAAGATCATACTATTCAGTAAGAATCATCTCTTATTGATCCAGTGTTAGTACTGGATGCCTCTATCAGTTCTAAACTGTTCTCCCGGGGAGTCCAGTTATTGGTCCAGTGTTACTACTAGGAAAAACCTAAACTAATCTAACTTTATTTATACTGGGTTGTTCTATCAGTTCTAAACGGTAAGGTTCATCTTTTATTGATCCAGTGTAATAACAGGAGGAAACTCAAACTAAACCAACTTGATCAGTATAGGATAGCTCTAACAGTTCTGAACTGTTCTCCATAAGGAATCCAATCAAGAGTCATTCCTTGTTAGCCCAGTGTTAGTTACAGAACCAGCAAGAGATGGCCCTTGCTTCCCTTGCTCTTGCTAAAATATTTAAAAGAAAGGGACATGCGCAATCTAACTAAGCGGATGACGAGAGTAATCCCAGATAAGATCCAGATTGATCCACTCCGTTGGCAATTATTTTAATTTCTTTCTCCCCTATAATCTTCCATGTCATGATCATGCTGTTGTGCATTTCAAAATTTGGCAACTGCAACTAACTGACATACTACTGATTTTATTCTTACGATTTTTTTAATCCAAAGTATATTGTTTTAGTACATACATAAATAACAAATTAGCTGTATGGCATTTTGGTTGGTTAATAAATCATTCACCCTAGGTTTGCTCCGGGCTGATTTCTGGAGTGTAAAAGGTGGCTTTGTTTTGAAAACAATGCCAAATGAATCTGTTAAAAAAGACAGATTTCCACCAGTTTCAAGTGCTTGACGTCTGGCAACCTTTCATCTCAGTCTCGACAAACACACGCCAAACTATTCACTCAAAGATTTGATAAAGATTTTAAGCCGGGAAACACGATAACGCTGAGCTTTCCGCCATAAATGGAAAATAGCAATCTGTGTTGATTATATTTGAAGTGCTTGGTAGCGCATATTATGCTAATTTTAACTTTGCGCAAATTATTTAATCGTGTGCTAAAGACGGCATTAATTAAGTTAGTGTTATGCTGTTTAATTGTTTTAATAAATAAATAAATGAATTAATTAATTTGTAAATAACTAATCTGATACAATACGGCTGTTCACCAAACACAAGGTTTATAATGCTCTTGGGTGAAATATTTTTCTATTTATCGTTCCAGGGAATACAGAAAGAACACATTCAGATCAACCGGTGAATCATACTCGGGGAAATAGTCCCGTATCGGAGTTTCGTACCCATATGCTACGAGCTATCAGCATGTTATCAGTCTCCCGGCAATGCACTATTCTCACGGCCATATTGGAAGACTCTGGAGAAAATCCTTCTGGCGTGATGAAAGAGTTTATGGGTACAGTACCTTATCAGCATTTGCCTTGCGTTCCGATGACGTCGCCATCGGGATCGCCCGTGAATATGTCGGCATTGCGAAGGGCAACCGATCACTACGTCACAAGGTATTACGACTTAGCTTCAATATATAATTTCAATGCTTGAATACCTTTGTTTCATGCTGCTAATCTTACATTAGCATAACTACTTTAACTAGGCATGCGAGTTTTTTCGTATTTTACAACATTTCGCAACCAAACTTTGCAATTTTACTAATTTTAGGATGCTTTTTTGAGCTATAATGATAGATATTGAGAGATAAAAATTAGTAAATAGCTGGAATCATGATCAATCATCCATTCTAAATCTTAATTTCTTTGCAGATTATTCAACAATCTACCGCACGCATTTCAATGCAAAATCATCTCTGACGTCACTTTCGCGTCTCCCGGGGACGTCACGAAAGAAACACTGGCGGAAACAATGTCCACAATAAGCAAAAAACTAAAATTCGAGCTCGAGGACATGACGGAAAACTGCGCGGACACGAAGAACCCACGCGAGATCATCACGAACACGCGTGTACAAATCGGGGTGAGAATACGAAAGGCCATGCCGTTGGAAGCTTGGCTGCAACGATTTAGGGAAATTTTGCCGAGTATATATCTCAGCTACGTTTCAAAGTCGGGTAGAGTGGGAGAATTTGTTAGCGGTTGGACAAAAAACGAACAGGGCGCCAAAATACCAGTTATTCCAACCAACCAATTTCTGGTGAAAATGCAGGACGAACCAATCACTGACGCTCGCGTTGCTCTGGTTTCATTCTCGCTGTTCTCTCGGACAAAGTCGGGAGATTATCGGTTGATAAGCGGCGACGAAGTTGCGGCGTCGTTCGACGCGATAGATCGATCGGTTTTGAACAGTTACATTCAAGCTGAGGTCATCGGATGGCGTTTGCATGGCAAGAGAGATAATGCCCGATTTGAGGGGATGCGCAAAAGAAAATCTAAGCCATCCAGTCTGGAAATTTTTCGCCTGCAAAACTCGTTTCCAAAATACCTTGTGAAATTTTTCAAATCTATGACAAGCAACGGTCGATGTTATATTTTACGCCAAATCAGTTCCCACGTTCAAAAACACTTGTTAGTTGTTGAAAAACATTACCATGTCTCAGGGTTACTGCCTAAAAAGTACTACTGTTCGCGAGCAGCGAAATATGACTCGACACCAAAAACCAAACGCCCTAGGCCATTGGCAAGCGTTTGGGACCGCCTGGATAAATTTATTCAAACTATTTCAAAACCAACACCGACCACGAGCACGACAATACTACCGGGTCGAAATTCGACAGTTATTCGAGAAACGAGGCCGTTTAATTCAATGGAAATTGTCATGTTCGCGTTGCTGTGTTTCTTGTGTCTGTTAATTATGGTATTTGTTGCGAATTGTGTTGTCTTTACGTTCAAAACGAAGCAATTAAGTTCGAAGTATACCGCAAATTTTCAAATGCAACAGGTTGTGTTTGGTGACGTGGGCGGAACGAAAGACTGTGGTATTAAAACTGGGGAAGGTCCCCCCGGAAAATTAACCTTAACAGACAACCCACAGCCTGAACCGTCGATGTTTACCGGGGGGCAAAGTTCGGGAAATCATCAATGGAGATTGTTGAGCATGACCAGCGAGGGCGGTGCGACGGTTTGCAGTGACGTCATAAGCCTCTCTGACGATGAACTTGAAAGAGTTAGTTCAGTTTGATTCGAGGGTTTGTGGAGTTGTACACGTGCTTGTTGCCACAACAACGGATGAGCCTTATGATTCGAGCTGAGAAAAACGGAATAAAAGACGAAAGACCATTCAAAAGTAATACCTATGAGTTACCATCTAGTCACAGATGACTCCAGTAATTAATATAGCTCAAAGTCAAGACATATAGAGAGGGTCTGCCGGGGGGGGGGGGGTCTGTGTTCCCTTGGAAATTTTTCCTTTGTTACATTGTTCTCCAAGCATACATGTCTAGCTTACAAGCCTAGAAACCCCTGAGAGACCCTCTATAGAGCATAGGGTAATTTTTATGGTAATTTTTGATAATATTTAATGACAAAAATGATTAAATATATGTACAATATGTTATTAATTCCATACAAAGAAACGGATATTTACACTAACATGGAAATGAATTCTTGGTGCACGATCCAAATGAGATGAGAGTTCGCAGCCACGTATTGTTAGGGGGGTGAGGTGGGGGCATTTCAATCTGAATGTGAAAATACCGTGTACATAGACCGGCACACGCAAAACTCTCGCATCTTGCAGCAAGTCTGCCAACAAGTCGTCAACAAGTTGTGTTCGCACTGCTTGTCCCAAGTTGTCAACAAGTTTGGAACAAGCTGTTAACAATTTGTAACAACCTTGTTGATATTATCAGACTTGTTGCGAGGTTGCTCCAACAAAGTCCGATACAGTCATGATATAACAATATTGTTACGACCTTGTGTCATCAACCTTGTAACATTCCAGAACAACCTTGTAACAAGTCTGATAATGCCATCAAGCTTGTTACAAGTTGTTAACAGCTTGTTCCAAACTTGTTACAACAACTGGGAACAAGCAATACGAACTCCGCTTGTCGACAGCTTGTGAACAGACTTGTAACATGTACAAGTTGTCAATGGCTTGTTGACGACTCGCTTCAAGGTTGGTGAGCTCAACAGACTTGTTACAAGTGGTTCCAACAACTTGTTATCATCCTGCAATTCACCAATTTGTAAACAAGTTGTGAGTGACAACCTTATAGCAACTTGATAAAATAACAGCATTGTTACAACTTGTTGAAGCTTGCTACAAGCCTGTTTCGAACACATCTTGTTGACAAGTTGTGAGATTTTTACGTGTGAAAAATAGCACAGGTTGTTACAGGTCTGCAAACAAGTTATTACAAATCGGTTCACAAGTTGTTGACAAGTTGTGCTCGTACTGCTTCTTCTCAGTTGTTGTAAAAAAGTTTGGAACAAGCTGTTAACAACTTGCAGCTTGACGGCATTATCAGACTTGTTACAAGCTTGTTCTAACAAGTCTGATACAGTCATGATATAACACGAATGTTACAAGGTTGATCGCACAAGGTTGTAACAATATTGTTATATCATAACTGTATTGGACTTGTAGGAAGTAGGAACAACCTTGCAACAAGTCTGATAATATCAACAAGGTTGTTGTTGCAAGTCGTTAACAGCTTGTTCTAAACTTGTTCAGTTGTTGACGGCTTGGGACAAGCAGTGCGAACACAACACGGTGACGGCTTGTTGGTAGACTTGCTACAAGATGTGAGATTTTTACGCGTCTATACACGTAAAAATGCACATGTTGTAACAAACCTGCAGCAGACTTGTAGCAATGCTGTTCCAACAACTTGTCAACAGGATGTGTTCACATTGCTTGTTTCCAGCTTCTTGTCAAGTTGTCAATAGCTTGTTGACAACTTGCTACAAGGTTGTTGAGCTCAACAGACTTGTTACAAGTTGTTCCAACAACTTGTTATCGTCCTGCATTTCAACAATTTGTCAACAAATTGTGAGTACTAGTGATAACCTTGTAGCAACTTGATGAAATAACAGTATTGTTACAACTTGTTGGCAAGCTTGCTACAAGCCTGTTGCGAACACATCTTGTTGACAATTAATTGTGAGATTTTTATGTGTGTACACACGTAAAAACGCACAGGTTGTTACAGGTCTGCAAACAAGTTGTTACAAATCTGTTCACAAGGTGTCAACAAGTTGTGTTCGCACTGCTTGTTCCTAGTTGTTGTAGCAATTTTGGAACAAGTTGTTAACAACTTGCAACAAGCTTGATGGCATTATCAGACTTGTTACAAGGTTGTTCTAACGTCATGATATAACAAGAATGTTACAAGGTTGACGACGCAAGGTTGTAACAATATTCTTATATCATGACTGTATCACACTTGTTGGAACAATCTTGCAACAAGTCTGATAATATCAACACAACTTGTTCCAAACTGTCGACATCATCATCATGAACGTATGTTAGCGATATCATCACTGTATCGGACTTGCCATACACACGCGAAAATCTCACATCTTGTTGCCAACAAGCCGTCAAAAAGTTGTGTTCGCACTGCTTGTCCCAAGTTGTCAACAAGTTTGGAACAAGCTGTTAACATCTTGTAACAACCTTGTTGATATTATCAGACTTGGTGTTGATATTATCAGACTTGGTGATGATATAATAATATTGTTACTCAACCTTGTGTCGTCAACCTTGTGACATTCTTGTCATATCATGACTGTATCAGACTTGTCAGAACAACCTTGTAACAAGTCTGATAATGACATTGTTCCAAGTTGTTAACAGCTTATTCCAAACTTGTTCACAACAACTACTGTTCCAACAAGTTGTGTTCGCACTGCTTGTTCCCAGTTGTTGTAACAAGTTTGGAAGAAGCTGTTAACAACTTGGAACAAGCTTGATGGCATTATCAGACTTGTTACAAGGGTTGTTCTAACAAGTCTGATACAGTCATGATATAACAAGAATGTTACAAGGTACGTTGACGACACGAGGTTGTAACAATACTGCTATATTATGACTGTGTCGGACTTGTTGAAACAACCTTGCCACAAGCCTGATAATATCAACAAGGTTGTTACAAATTGTTAACAGCTTGTTCCAAACTTGTTGACAACTTGTTAACGGCTTGTTGACAAACTTGTTACAAGATGTGAGGTTTTTGCGTGTGTACGTAGAGTTCACTGGTAACAACTTGTGCGTTTTTACGTGTGTACAGACAGACAGACAGACAGACAGACACAACACAAAGTCAGTCAAGTTCACCCACGTGAAACGAAGATCTCTTAACACGTGGAATCAATATGCTTAACACGTGGATATCAATATAAAAGCTCTGTTTTCATGAAGTATTGAATCATTCCGCAACATGTCTGCCAAGGAGAGCCAGTTCGAAAACAAAAACAAAAATAGAAATCTGAAATCCGAATGGCGAAAAAGTGTTTCAGAAAACATTAAAAGTCTTGCAGCTCGATTTAACGATATAAACAGCGATAAAAAACGGTTGGAGTTGGCTAGAAAAATATTAAAGTAAGTTTTCAGTTGAGGCCATGCTGCCATGTGATAGATGAAATTATATGCATGACAATTAGCAGCAGTTGTATTATTTCAATTCTTCATGTTAATTTAGCGTGTTAATTCTCCACTATATGTTGTAGTCTTGCATTACTGTTACTGAAACCCTGACCAATAAACAGGTGGACAATGACCCTGATTCTTAGGGCCTGTTTATATGTAAGCCAGGCCCCTCTAGTGGCCCACTTAATAACAAGAAAGTTTCATCCCGCTTGCTTGGACAATTTTGTTATTTTGACATTGTTTTGACAGTTGTTAAAAATAGCTTGCGGCAGCATCTTTCGACCAAGCCCGCTTGTGAGTGTTTATATGGAGATCAGAAATTTTTATCCTGGTAAATATTAAGTGAGATCTTGCCTCCTTTAAGCGAGATCTCGGCAACCAGACCAGCCCGTCTGTCCATATAATGCACAGTAATTTTCACTATAAATAGAGGATATTACACGGCAGCACGAAGATATGACTTTTTATCTTCGAGTGGTGAAAACAATATTTTACGAACGAGCGCAGCGAGTGAGTGAAATATTGTTTTCAACACGAGAAGATAAAAGTCATATCTTCAAGCCACTGTGTAATGTTCAGTTTATTATATAGTCCCAAGCAAAGAATTGTATAAATACTAAAAGTCACATGATCGATATCTTCACTAGTGAAGATATGGAAAATATCTCACTGTGTATTTTTCAGTATCTCACTCTCTACTATATAATAAAAATAACTACACAGCGAGATCTCTCTTACCAGGCTGTCCCAGTAAGTGGGCCAGCCTGGCTTCCATATAAACAACCCCATAGAAACATTTAATTCATATTTTTAGACAAGATCCTTGGTTCGGTGATATTGTCAAGAGGCTAAAGTCAGAAATAGAAGCAAAGAATGAAATTGGGTGTGAAAAAGTGAACGACTTTGACCCATTTGAGAACAGGTTGCTGTCAAATTATTTCTACATTAATTTAAATACACACAATAGAATATTATGTACTGTAAGTATAGAATTATTATAATGTGAACATTGTGTTATTAGAACGTTAAGAAAAGATGGGGTTGCATTGCCAACACTGGCAAAGAACAAACATCCAAAAATATCAAATGGGTCAGTACTTATTGAGCTCAGCTGTAGTAAAACCCAAGGACGATACTTGGAGGTAAATAGCGGTCAATTTTCATTAGATTGTTAAAAAATCAGTGACAGTAAGTAAAATTGTCTGGCGTTAGACAGAGTAAAATAATAAAGTATAAGGCACATTGGGGACAGTGTTGTTTTAGTATGGTGTTTTCAATTTAGTTTTAGTTCACTTTTAGTTTAATGCAGTAATTTATGTTTAGTTTTAGTTTAGTTTTAGTTTGAAAAAGGAATTTCGTTTTAGTTTAGTTCTAGTTTGAAACAGAAATTTTATTTTAGTTTGAGTTTAGTTTGAGTTCGAGTTCGAAAGAGGAATTTCATTCTAGTTCTAAGAAAACGTTTAGTTTTAGTTTTCAGTGGTTCAAATATGTATGAAAATGTTTGTATAAAAGCCACTACTAGGCCAGGAAAGACCAAATATTATATATTCAACATCAGCAATTGTTTATTTCAAATTCAAAATTGCTTTATTTACCTGTTCAAGTGATTAAAGTGAATAATGCACTGGCAGGACTATACAAACCAAGACAACTTTATTTATAAATAACCCAATATAAACCAGGGTCGAGGTTTCGAAAACATTGTTTCAGTTTTCCAGGAACAGGAAGTATAAAATCATAGGCGGAAGGCAGAATCGACAGTTTACGATCAGTTTGCAACAGTTCACGATCATGTACAAAGTCCCCTCGAAGGCCAAATTTTATATTTCAAAAAAATAGATCATAAACAATTAAACATACAATCTGTTGACTAATTAAATTCTGTCGTTTAGTTTTAGTCGTTGGTGGTAATTTTGCTTTTAGTTCAAGTTTAGTTCTAGTATACTTGCTGCTGATTTTGCTTTAGTTCTAGTATAGTTCTTGTTTTTATCTCTTAAATCGCTTTAGTTCTGGTTTAGTTTTAGTATTTATCTGTGGCAATTAATTGATACACCAGGCAGAAATCTTAGTTTAAAGATAAAGAGCAGAGCCCAGCAAATAACTTTAAAACCAAACATAATAAAAGTAAAAATTTTAATTAGCTAACGTTTCGTTGTTTACAATACAACATCTTCAGAGCAATCTAAATGAATTTACAGGGTATGGTATATTTACAAAGTAATGGTTTAATATTACAAAAACGGTTACATAGTTTGAAAGAACAAATGAATAGAAAGAGAGGAAAACAACTTAGATTGCTCTGAAGATGTTGTATTGTAAACAACGAAACGTTAGCTAATTAAAATTTTTACTTTTATTATGTTTGGTTTTAAAGTTATTTGCTGGGCTCTGCTCTTTATCTTTAAACTAGTATTTATCTATTCTGTTTAATTTATTTAGTTCCAGTTAGTTTTAGTTGACTAAATTATTTTGGCACGACTAAAATATGGTTTTAGTTTTAGTTCTAGTTGACTAAAACAACACTAATTGGGCCGCAATGCAATTTGATGTTTTGTTTGTATTGTCATCAGGCCAAGGAACAGATCAAAGCAGGTGATGTTTTGATCTTGGAAAGACCTTATGCAGCTGTACTTGTACCTGACAACAAAACTACACATTGCTCTCATTGTTTTGAACTGTTGGAAGAGGATTTTAAGTATGTATACCGTGTTTGGTTTGTCTTTTTGTATGGTGTTTATCTTTGTTTTGTTTTGTTTGTTGAGTTTCTCGCTCATTGGTGAGCGGATTTCCCCAGTGGCGTAGCCAGCTCGATAAGTGGGGGGGGGACATATTCATATATTCGTATTCACAGACCGTAAAAACAATCAATTTCAAAAGAAATTAATAATGGAGAACGCAAATATATGAATATGTCCCCCCCCCCCCCCACACACTTCTTTTAGCATAATAGGGAGCTTTTTTGAGACCGAGCATAATAGGCAAAATTTTCAGAAAGCAAGCATAATAGGCAAACGTTTTGGTATTACGTCATTTTGCCAACGTAATTAGTACAATTACATAATAAGCATATGCGCCAACCATCTGCAGGCCAGCGGCTTGTTGAGACCTCTGTTATGTTACAGTATAACAAGCGTTAATTAAGTTACTGTACCTACATTTATGTTAAATTGAATAAAGTTGTTTTTTCGTGATCTTGAATCTTGATCGAATATGAGGTAGCATAATTATCAGTATAATAGGGAAAAACTTTGAGCATAATAGGCAAAGTCAGGAGCACTAACTGCACTAAGCATAATAGGCAATTGTGCATAGTGTGTGTGCCCCTAGACTTTGAGCAGAGGTCCAACTAAGGATTGAACCGATACACAAACAAACAAACATCGATCTGTTTGTTTTTCTGTGTGCCAGTTTGTTTTCAGCAGGGAATAAAATTTATTTGTGTGTATTGGCATTTCCAGATTGTGTACTGTTTGCAACCAAGTGATGTATTGTTCTGTTAACTGTCAACAAGATGCGTGGAAATCATATCACCAACATGAGTGTTCTTTGGCACCTTTGCTAGAAATGGTGAGAGCCTAAGTAATGGAGTTTATGTTCTAGCATGGGGCTAGAGGTATGAAGAGTACTTCCAGTTTGACTCTACTGAACAGCAAAATGTTTTTATGGTTACTCCAGTTTCCTCATGTGTAGTAACACTAGAGCCAGGCACGGATTTTCTGGGGGTGGGGGGGTGCGGGGGTTGCGCACTCAAAAGTTTTTGCACCCCCACAAATTATATATATTTTGATTTGATAGTTTCATATTTGATTATTCTTACTACTAAATTTGTAAAATTACCAATATTATGGTCTCAGATCTTGCCATACAGGCCTAGAAAACAGATTTTGTTAAACTTTTTCCTTGGCTTTTCCGGGCGTTGCCACCACGCCCCGGCCAAAGCAAGCACCAGCACCCCCCTCCCAGATATTTATCTTCCCCTCCAAACGAAAATATGAAAATCCATCTCTGACTAGAGCAAAAAACTGGACCGCTATGGATAAGTTTAGAGTTGATACATTTGCCCAGTATAAATAATGTTTAGTTTGCTTTCCTCCTGTAGTAATGTTGGAGCAATAAGGGATGACTCTTACTGGACTACTGAGTTTAGAAGTGATAGAGCTAGCCATTGTAAATATATTTACAGTAGGTTCACTAGGATGTACAGATTACAGTATTATGGAACAGTTTCAAACTTTTCATTATTTAGCTAGAACTATCATCCCACTTGGCATTAAGATTGCTTCTGGTTACTGGACCACAGAAATTACTTGGTATGGGCACTATTTTTGTCTAACCTTTGGCATATTTTCAAATAAGCTGCTGTTTCTAATAATCTTCTCTAATACGCTGCCTCTCTAATAAGTTCTCTAATAAACCCTGTCTCCAATATACCCCCTCTCTAATAAATCCCCTCTCTAATAAACCCTATCTCTAATAAACCCCCTCTCTAATAAGCTGCCCTCTCTAATAAGCTGCCCTCTCTAATAAATCCCCTATCCAATAAACCCACTCTCTAATAAGTCCTCTCTCTAATAAACCCACTCTCTAATAAACCCATTGTAATAGACCCCCTCTCTAATAAGCGCTTCCCTCTCTAATAAATCCCAGTCTCTAATAAACTGCCCTCTCTAATAAACCCCCCTCTCTAATATATCCCCCTCTCTAATAAACCCCCTCTCTAATAACCCCCTCTCTAATAAACCCCACTCTCTAATAAATTGCCCTTTCTAATAAATCCCCCTCTCTAATAAACACTCTCTCTAAAAGTCTCCCCTCTAATAAATCCCCTCTCTAATAAGCTGCCCTCTCTAATAAACCCCCTCTCCAATAAACCCACTCTCTAATAAGTCCTCTCTCTAATAAACGCACTTTCTAATAAACCCCCATTCTAATAGACCCCCTCTCTAATAAGCTGCCCTCTCTAATAAATCCCACTCTCTAATAAACTGCCCTCTCTAATAAACCCCCCTCTCTAACATACCCCCCTCTCTAATAAACCCCCTCTCTAATAAACCTCCTCTCTAATAAACCCCACTCTCTAATAAACTGCCCTCTCTAATAAATCCCCTCTTTAATAAACACTCTCTCTAATAAGTCCCTCCTCTAATAAGCTCCCTCTAATAAGTTCCCCCTCTAATAAGCTCCCTCTCTTATAGTCTCCGCTCTCTAAAACGGTTCTCTCTTTAATAGACTGCCTCTGAAATAAGTCCGTCTCTAATAAGCCCTGCTCTCTTATAAACCGTTTGTCTAATAATCCCTCTCTCTACCAAGCCCTTCTTTTTAAGCCCCCCCCCCCTCTCCCCCTCTTCAAACGTGCCATTAGAGGATTCACATTTGACAATCATATTTGTTGCAGATTTCCTTCAGAATGAACCTAAGAATACTTCTGACGTTTTGTGTTCAGAAAAGATTCCTGGATGTACTTCAGAAGGTCTATATTCAGGTAGGTAGATGAGTAGGGTAATTGTGATTTATACAGTATATTGTGCATGGTGGGGGACATTTATTTCAAACTGTATATGTACCATTAGTTGCTGCGCTGAAAGTGCGACCTTTGTCATTATTTTAGGTGACTATGCATGTGTCCATAGTCTTGTTACCAACACAGAACTTCAACCAACAGCCGATTTGGTTTTCTTTGCATTGGTAGGTTGTACTTTGAATTCGGAATATAGAGACTGTCGAAGAAGCTGAAGAAATCATTGTATTATTGCGCATTCAAATGTCGCGTATTTACAACTAGAGGGCACTTCGAGACCAATGCAAGCAAATTATGTACTATTTAAAACACGTGTAGGAGTGTTTTATTAGGTTTAAAATGCAAGTGCGCAGCACGAGCATTTTAGATATGATAAAACACGACCACAAGTATTTTGAATAACTTCAAACACGACTACAACAGATGCTGTCTCATTAGTATTCTTTATATAAAGAATACTAATTGACCACTTGCGTAATGGACTAACTTTTGATCTCAACAAGTCTAGACAAAAATATCATCACAGCTTGAAAGAGCATCACAAAATTAGTAATATTCCAAAGTTTCGTTGCGAAATGTTGTAAAATACGGATAATATAGCCTTGCGAAGTTTGTCGTTTTTCGGTCATTTTGCATTACACGGGGGAAATTGACAGCCCAATACCCTTTGGGGCTGTCAATTTTCCGTTTGTAATAGAAAATGACTGAAATACGGCAAACTTCGCAAGGCTATATTATCCGTATTTTACAACATTTCGCAACGAAACTTTGGAATATTACTAATTTTGTGATGCTCTTTCAAGCTGTGATGAAATTTTTGTCTAGACTTGTCTAGATCAAAAGTTAGTCTATTACGCAAGTGGTCAATTAGGATGGACTTTTATATAAACAATACTAATGAAGATGAGTTTCATCAGATATAAAGCCTCTTCACGTGACATATTATGGTTGACATGATTTTCCAATAAGCTTATGAATTAATAATGACTGTTTGGACTAATTATTATGCCAGGTGCGATAATTAAAGATTTTTGGTTGTACTTGACTCAACAATGGTTGTTGCCGCGTACTTACTTAGTCTTTAAAATAAGGTTCATAAGGTACAGGTTTCTGAAAAGTATGTTCAGACTACGAGGTAGAAAAGGAAGCACAATTACATAATATACAAACAATCGACTCCAACGTTTCTTAGTGCCATCAGTGCAATCATGTTTCATGCCAAAAAATCTCAGACACATGATATACCAACTAAATTACGGTATTGAATACCTTGGATTTGGAAAGGTCATGTGGTACCAGCAAAAAATAAGTACACAGATAGCAAGAGTTCCGCGTACCTACGTGGTACGTGGCTGAAACCAAGAAGTACCAGACAGTAATATTGGCGTACCTCCGGAACGTAAGTACGCGAATTATAGCACCCTGATTATACATTCCGTTCACTCTGCCCGGCAAAGCATTAGACAAACTTTCGCTAATTTCTTGTTCAATTTTCGTCCAAGTTTAAGCAAAATTTAAAGGGGAAGTCAAGTCCGTAATGTAAACAAACGGTTTGTTTACATTTTGAACTGCTGTATTTTTTAAAAATATGATGTACTGTCTGAATATCTAACACCATTTTGGTTCGCTATGCTTCTAAATGAATATGAAATAGAGTTTATGTTTAGAAAAATTCGAAACATTCGAAATTTGGGCAATGTTTTCATCAGAGGGTCCTTACATTGTTATGAGCAGAACCGATGCGCAGAACGGACTTGACTTCCACTTTAATCATTTTGTCCTTGGGCAATGTCCTAATGTTCCACAAATTTTCTTATTATTAAAATTTCATTTTGTTTTCACAGGATGCAGCTTTAATAACTGAAATTGCATTTGGTCACGTATACGGAGAACAAAGTCAGACAGAATCGGCAAATGAAACTACCAACGGTTCAAACGTTGCAATTACTGAAGAAATCATGGGCTGTGTATTGTTACATCACATGCAACAAATGCCGTGTAACATCCACGCCGTCACTGCTATCGTGTCTGTCAACGAACAGGCTGGTGTTTCATCTAAGGAACAACGAAGGATAGCAGCTGCTATATATCCCACAGCATCCCTGATGAACCATGCTTGTGACCCTGATGTCATTGTGAGGTGTGGTACCTAGTTGTTTTGTTGGCAAAAAAGGGCCTGGAACTAGAAAGAGAATAATAGCTGTATTTTTTCTGTATTTAACCCAATGAGTCGAGTGGTAGCACCCTCCCCTTGACCAGTGAGATCGTCTGGCGTTAGACAGAGTAAAGGGTCAACAGGATGGGCAGATTGTCTGATTAATGACCAGTTTCTTTCTCTGAACTTCATATAACTTATTTAGGTTGTGTAAAAAGTGGAACTAAAACTAAGCTAGACTAACATCATTAATCATAAAATCAAATTGTAATTTGGGTTATTTACAGTTTTATAGGACGCACCCTTGTGGTACGTGCGACTCACAATATTCAACCTGGCGAAGAAATAGCACATTGTTATGGTGAGTATAGACTAATCTGTGGACATTCCTACTTGCATATACCCACGTAAAAATCTCTCATCTTGTAGCAAGTCTGCCAACAAGCCGTCAACAAGTTGTGTTCGCACTGCTTGTCCCAAGTTGTTAACAAGTTTGGAACCGAGCTGTTAACAACTTGTAACAACCTTGCTGATATTATCAGACTTGTTGCAAGGTTGTTCCAACAAATCCGATGTAGTCATGATATAACAATATTGTTACAACCTTGTATCATCAACCTTGTATATCGGACTTGATGGATCAACCTTGCAACAAGTCTGATGACATCAGCAAGGTTGTTACAAGTTGTTAACAGCTTGCTTCAAGCTTATTACAACAACTGGGAACAAGCAGTGCGAACTCAACTTGTCGACAGCTTGTGAACAGATTTGTAACAACTTGCTTGCAGACCTGTAACAACTTGTGCGCTTTTACGCATGTACAGTTCGTACGAAAATCAGAGGTTTTACAATTGTTTAATTGGATTATTTGTAGGTCCAAGTGCAAGCAGAATGTCGCGAGAAGTCCGACAAAGTCTTCTTCAAAAACAGTATTTCTTCACTTGCAACTGTTCTGCCTGTAAGAGGTAATCACGAGTAAACAGAATGTCACATTTCATTACACACGCAAAAATCTCGCGTCTTGTAGCAAGTCTGCCAACAAGCCGTCAACAAGTTGTGCTCGTACTGCTTGTCTCAAATTGTCAACAAGTATGAAAACAATGTAACAACCTTGTTGATATTATCAGACTTGTTGCAAAGTTAATTTGTTCCAACAAACCCGATACCAGTCGCTGGTATAACAATGTGTTACAACCTTGTGTCATCAACCCACAGCAGTTATATCATGATGTATCAGACCTGCCTTGTAACAAGTTTGATAATACCATCAAGCTTGGTACCCAAGTTAATTGGCAGCTTGTTCCAAGCTTGTTTCAACAACTGGGAACAAGCAGTGCGAACACAACTTGTCGACAGCTTGCTGAACAGATTTGTAACAACTTGTTTGCAGACCTGTAACAACTTGTGCGTGAAGTTTAGTTTTCCCTCATGCTTGTCAGATGTTGGGATCCTAGGTAGCGCGTCTACCTGCAAGTGCCTGAAGCTAACTGCAATCCTTGGTCAGAA